TTGAGGGTTCCTTTTGGAGTTAATCTCCAATTTTTTCCACTGTGGTCTGAGAGAGTATTTGATATAATCTCAGTTTTCTTAAATTTATTTAGATTCCTTTCATGGCCTATCATATGGTCTATCTTGGACAATGTTCTATGTGCCAATGAAAAGAATGTACATTCTGCAGTTGTTGGGTAGAATGTTCTGTAAGTATCTGTTAAGTCTATTTGTTCTAGGGTATAATTTAAGTCTTGTTTCTTTGTTAACTTCTGTCTTGATGGCTTGTCTAGTGAACTGAAGTACCCCACTATTGTGTTGCAATCTCTCATTTCTTAATGTCTAATAATAATTGTTTTATAAATTTGGGGGCTCCCATATTAGGTGCATATATATTTATAAAGGATTGATATTTTCCTGTTGGACTGATCCTTTTATTAATATATAATGTCTCTCTTTGTCTTAACTGTTGATGCTTTAAAGTCTATTTTGTCTGATAAAAGAATAGCTACTCCTGCTTTTTGTTTTCATTTGCGTGGAATATCTTTTTCCACCCCTTTACCTTGAGATTATGTGAGTCCTTATGCATTAGTTGAGTCTCTTGAAGATAGCAGATACTTGATCGGTGGATTTTTATCTATTCTCCCATTTTGTATCTTTTAAGTGGAGCATTTAGGCCATTTACACTCAACATTAGTATTGAGATGTGAGACTGTTCATCATGCCACTTGTTGCCTGATACTTTTTTCTTTTTCATTGTTTTATAGGCCTGGTGAGATTTATGCTGAAGGAGGTTCTATTTTGGTATATTTTGAGGTTTTGTTTCAAGAATTAGAACTACTTTTAGCATTTCTTGTAGTGCTGGCTTGGTAGTGGCAAATTCTCAGCATTTTGTTGTCTAAAGACTTTGTATCTTTTCCTTCATTTACGAAGCTTAGTTTTGCTGGATACAAAATTCTTGGCTGACAACTATTTTGTTTGAAGAGGTTAAAGATAGGACCCCAATCCCTTCTGGCTTGTGGGGTTTCTGCTGAGAAATCTGCTGTTAAACAGCTCTTAAGATTCTTTCCTTTGCCTTTAGATAACCTGATGACTGTGCCTGATTATCTTTTTGAAATTATTTTCCCAGGTGTTCTTTGAGCTTCTTATATTTGGATGTCTAGATCTCTAGTAAGGCCAGGGAAGTTTTCCTTGATTATTCCCTCAAATATGTTTGCCGAACTTTTAGATTTCTCTTCATCCTCAGGAACACCAATTATTCTTACGTTTGGCCATTTAACATCATCGCAAACTTCTTGGGAGGCTCTGTTCATTTTGTAAATTCTTTGTCTTTGTCGATTGGGTAAATTCAAAAGCCTTGTCTTCAAGTTCTGAAGTCCTTTCTTTTCTACTTGATTCTGTTGTTGAAACTTTCCAGTGAATTTTTTTTATCTTCCAAGTGTGTCTTTAATTTCCAGAAGTTGTGATTGTTTTTTATTATATCTATTTCTCTGGAGACATTTTCATCCATATCTGTATTAAAAATTGATTTAAGTTGGTTTTTACCTTTCTCTTGTATCTCCTTGAGTAGGTTAATAATCAACCCTCTGAATTATTTATCTGGCAATTCAGGTATTTCTTCTTGGTTTGGATCCATTGCTGGAGAGCTAGAGTGGGCCTTGGGGGGTGTTATAGAACCTTGTTTTGTCATATTACCAGAACTGCTTTTCTGATTCCTTCTCATTTGGGTAGACTGTTTCACTGGAAAAATCTAGAACTCAAAGCTGCTGGTCAGATTCTTTTGTCCCACAGGGTGGTCCCTTGATGTGGGGTGCTTCCCCTTCTCCTAGTGATGGGGCTTCCTATGAGCCAGACTGTTATTGCTCTTCTTGGTCTAGTCACCCAGCAGGGCTACCAGGCTTTGGACATGCTGGGGAATGTCTGCAAAGAGTCCTGTGATGCAATTCATCTTCAGGTCTCCCAGCTGTAGATACCAGCACCTGCTCTGCTGGAGGTGGCAGGGGATTGAAGTAGACTCTGTGAGCGTCCTGGTTGTAAGTATGTTTAGTGTGCTGGCTTTCTTAAATGCTTTATGCTAGCAATGAAGTTGCCACCATGGACAGACTCAGGACCACTGTTTAGCCAAGATGGTGGAGGCAGTAGAATTAGCTGTTTTTTTTTCCTTCCTTGGAGCAGGGGATCTGTCATGAGTTGTAATGTCCTGAGTTGGTTGGCCTCCAGCCAGGAGGTGGCGCTTTCAAGAGAGCACCAGAGTTTTTCACCTGTCTCTCAGAATTTGCAGTGACCTGCCGCCTCTTTCCAAGTGTCTGTGAATTCTTTCACTTTTCCTGGTGTGCTCCTGTGGTGGTTCCTGGAGCAAAAGTCCATGGTGTGATTCTCCACACGCTGTTCTGTCTGTCCAAGTGGGAGCTGCATGTAAGCCCTGTCTCCTATCCACCATCTTCCACTCAAAGTATTTATATGCAAATAGAATAGATGAACAGAATCTAGATCCAGATGCAGATCTGGGATCCATTCCCTGCCTGTTGCACTTCCACTTCTTTAGGAAACAAATTCTCTGCTCTTTAGCCCCGAACCTCTGCCATGAGGGCAGTGCCCATAGGGATACTCTCAAGAAATTTTTGCCCAGACCCATGTCTTGGCGATTTTCCCCATGTTTTCTTGTAGTAGTTTCATAGTTTGAGGTCTTAAAGTCTTTAATCCATTTGATTTGATTTTTTTAATCTGGTGAGAGATAGGGGTCTAGTTTCATTCTTTTGCATATGGATATCTAGTTTTCCCAGCACCATTTATTGAAGACACTGTCTTTTCCCCAGCATATGTTCTTGGCAGTTTGTTGAAAATGAGTTCACTGTAGGTGTGTGGATTTGTTTCTGGGTTCTCTATTCTGTTCCATTGGTCTATGTGTCTGTTTTTCTTTCTTTCTTTTTTGTTTTGAGACAGAGTCTTGCTCTGTCACCCAGGCTGGAGTGCAATGGCACAATCTCGGCTCACTGCAAGCTCTGCCTCCTGGGTTCACACCATTCTCCTGCCTCAGCCTCCTGAGTAGCTGGGACTACAGGCACCCACCACCTTGCCTGGATAATTTTTTGTATTTTTAGTAGAGATGGGGTTTCACCATGTTAGCCAGGATGGTCTCAATCTCCTGACCTCGTGACCTGCCCGCCTCAGCTTCCCAAAAGGTTGGGATTATAGGTGTGAGCCACCATGCCTGGCCCTATTTGTTTCTATACCAGTACCATACTGTTTCAGTTACTATAACTCTGCAGTGTAGTTTGAAGTCAGGTCATGTTGATTCTTCCAGTTTTGTTCTTTCTGCTTAAAATAGCTTTGGCTGTTCTGGGTCTTTTGTGGTTCTGTATAAATTTTAGGATTGTTTTTTCTATTTCTGTGAAGAATATAATTGGTATTTTGATAGGGATTGCATTGAATCTGTAGATTGCTTTGGGTAGTATGGCCATTTTAACAATATTGATTCTTCCAATCCATGAACAGAAAATATTTTTCCATGTTTTTGGTGTCCTCTTCAGTTTCTTTCAATGTTTTATAGTTTTCATTATAGAGATCTTTCACTTCTTTGGTTAATTTCTAGGTATTTATATTTGTGGCTGTAAGTGGGATTACTTGTTAATTTTTCAGATTGTTCACTGTTGGCATATAGTTTCACTGTTGGCATAGAGAAATGCTACTAATTTTTTCATGCAACTTTACTGCATTTATTAGTTCTCACACTTTTTGGTGGAGTCATTAGGTTTTCCAAATATATCATCTGCAAACAAGGATAATTTGACTTTTTATATTCCAATTTGAATGCCCTTTCTTTTGTCTGATTGCTCTAGCTAGGACTTCCAGTACTGTGTTGGGTAACAGTGGTGACTCTGTGTTCTAGATCTTAGAGGAAAGGCTTTCAGTTTTCCCCTATTCAGTATGATACTAGCTATGGGTCTGTCATATATGGCTTTTATTATGTTGAGGTATGTTTCTTCTATCCCCGGTTTGAGGGTTTTTATCATGAAGGAACATTGAATTTTATCGAGTGCTATTTTCACATCAATTGAAATGATCATATGGTTTTTATCTTTCATTCTCTTAACATGATGTATCACATTGATTCGTGTATGTTGAGCCATCCTTGCATCACATGGATAAATCCCACTTGGTCATGATGAATAATCTTCCTAATGTATTGTTGAATTTGGTTTACTAGTATTTTGTTGAGGATTTTTGCATCAATATTTATCAGAGATATGAGCCTATAGTTTTCTTTTCTTTTTTTAATGTGTCTTTGGTTTTAGTATGATGGTAATACTGGCCTCCTCCGTGAGTGCAGAAGTATTCCCTCTTCCTCTATTTTTTTGGAATAGTTTGAGTAGGACTGATACTAGTTCTTCTTTAAATGTTTGGTAGAATTCTGCAGTGAAGCCATCAGGTCCCAGGTTTTTCTTTACTGGGAGGCTTCTTATGGCTTTGATCTCTTGCCTTTTTACTCCTTGTTACTAACAGTTAAAGTCTTTAGAAACCTTAAGAGAGCTCTGTTTTAGGGACAGAAGAACTGAAGAAAAGCTGGGAGAAAACATTGCTTTCTCAGTGGATCAGGGAGCAGAGAAATTCTAGTCAGGTAGAATAAAAGACTTGTTATTGGTCTGTTCAGGTTTTAGAGTTCTTTCTGGTTTAGTCTTGGTAGGCTGTATGTGTCTTGGAATTTGCCCATTTCTTCTAGATTTTACAGTTTATTGGCATATAGTTACTCATCATCTAAGAGCTTTTCAATAAGGGATTAAAACAATGATGACTCAGTGTTGCAAGCAAGACTGAAAGAAGATTTTTCCCATACTGATAAAAGGCAAGGCTAATCCCTCTCAAACATAAGAGTAACTGAAATGAATATTCCAGCTGAACAGATACAGCCTACATTCAAATGAATAGAACATCTTTAGTCTCCTACAAGAAAGAGATCTTATTTTTGTCTAGTGCAAGGCACGATGTCTGTAAGTATGCTGAATGATTACCTGTCTTTCTAGACCAATCCTGGAATGGTCCCCAGCCATGGATTCAGTCCCAGATCTTATTTCTTTGACAACCCTCGAAGATATGACAGTGATGATGATCTTGCCTGGAACATTGCCCCTCAGGGACTTCAGGGAGGGTAAGACCCTACTTCATGTTAGACAAGCCTCATTAGGAGAGAAGGGTTACACCAGTGAAACAGGTTCAAGCTAAAAGAAAATTCCTACATTAAAACTGTGCAGCCTTAGGTGGTATAAGACTGGATTATCAGTAGATCATTTTACTTATGGGAAGCATTCAGGAATGAGAAAGGACATCAGATTTTTTTTAAAGCCCCACAGCATTATTGTATACAGTAGTGTTTCCTAAACAATATTCCATGAAGCACTATTGTCTTAATAGCTATGCTGTGCAAAAGGAAATGATGATTTAAAAAGAAAATCGCCTTTTTTATTTTTTGGAGACCAGGTCTCGCTCTGTTGCCCAGGCTGGAGTGCAGAGTGGCACGATCTCAGCTCACTGCAACCTCCCCATCCCAGGTTCAAGTAGTTCTCGTGCCTCAGACTCTTGAGTAGTTGGGATTACAGGTGTGCACCACCACGCCCAGCTAATTTTTGTATTTTTAGTAGAGATGGGGTTTCACCATGTTGGCCAAGCTGGATCGCACTCTTGACCTCAAGTGATCTGCCCACCTTGGCCTCCCAGAGTGCTGGGATTACAGGCGTGAGCCACTGCACCTGGCCAGAAAATAAACTCTTTAGAAAATGCCAAGAGAGCCCGTAATATGCTAATGTGTACTCTGAATCTCCAAGGGGGAAATATAGCACTTGTCTATGGAATCACTCAGTGGAACATGGTATCTTTAATCACATATTCTAAAGCTAGAGAGTAAATGCAGTAGTATTTATTTATTAGAATAAGTTATATATTATAAAGGACCAAGTTTTCAAATTTGAATGATGTCAGTTCTTAATTTAAAATTTCAGTTACATGAAGGGTATTTACTTTAGTCTTAATTTTCATGAATACTTATTTAATAAGTACTTCTATAGCATCTACTCTGTATCAGACACTGTTCTAAGAGATTCACAAATATCAACTCATTTAGTCTTAACAGTCCTGAGAGGTCAGTACTATTATTGGCCTCATAATACAGATGAAACTGAGGTATCCAGAGGGTAGGTGACTTGTCCAAGGTCACACAGCTAGCAAGTGGTTAGGCTAGAATTCTAACTCAGGCAGTCTTGTTCAAACCTGTTTTCTGAATCACTATACTATGTAAACAGTTTGTATATAAGTACCCTGTCGCTTAGTCTCACCTATGCTTATGTTATACTTTCATGAGTTTTAATAGGAAGCGTCTCCTTGCTTGAATCCACATGCAGATCTGGCCCAGGAAATTTGGAGAGGGCAGTTAAATACTAAGAGTTCAAAGCAGCATACACAGAGGGTGTAAGACAATACGTGAACCATACCAGTCTGCTGCCATTGCCTAATTTTCAGTGAATTAGGAAGACAAATAAAAAGAGGGAAGCACCTGAAATTGCAACCATAGCAGAGACCCACCCCACGAGTCCAAGTTTTGCCTACCTCAGCATGGGCATGGTCTGCAAACAGGAAGGGTAGTAGCTATTGGGATTCCCTTCCCTTTTCCTCAGCCTGCTGTGCTCAGCCATTCTCTACTACCCTACTCGACTATCGTGTTTCCCTTTCAGCCTGTGGCTGTGAGACAGTGAGGCCAGCAAGGCCAGCAGGGGTGAGAGGAGCCAAAAGGGCTGCAATAGTACTTGCCGAGCCTGTCTTCTCTCTGCTTGTCCTCCCAGGACCCCCATCCTGTTCTTGAGAAAGGGGAGCTTCTCAGAAGTGAAAGCTTATCTTATGTAATCTTTTGTGAGATTAAAGACTTAGCATTAACAACTTTACAACTTTTTCCCTCTGGGATGAAATGATAAAAAAAGATATGCTTGCCTTTTTACTCCTTGTTAGTAACAGTGAAAGTCTTTAGAAAACTTTAAGAGAGCTCTGAAAAGAGCCCTTGTTTTAGGGACAGAAGTACTGAAGAAAAGCTGGGAGAATACATGCTTTCTCAGTTATCAGGCAGCAGAGTATTCTTGGTCAGACAGGATAAAAGATGGTGGCTGAGAAAAAAGAAGAAAGCTGCCCAATCCGCTGAGCCAGCAGATGTAAAGAATGTAAGCTGCAAGCAAGCCAGCAAACAAGGACTTCTTGAAGTCAAAAGCTGTCCTTTGGATCACTCAGATTTTGAGCTCCACCTCTTCCCTAAAACTGTTCTTTTCCAGTTACCCCACTGCACTTCCTATTAGTTGTTTTGCCCCTTTAAACCCATATTCTCCTGGAGCTGTCCTGCCCTCTCACCTGCCAGAAATGACTTAGAGCTGAGGGAGTCGTCACTACCTATATCGGTGAAGAAAAGACCCCCTTTCTACTACATAGAGGAACATAATTATAATGAAAACGACTTACATGTATTGAGAATTAACTATATATTAGGTACTGTTCTAAACACGTTACAGGTGTTAACTCAGTCCCCACAATAGGCCCACGATGTAGTTACTAATAGTACTCCCAGATGTAGTTACTAATAGTACTCCCAGTGTACTCCCAGATGTAGTGTAGTTACTAATAGTACTCCCAGATGTAGTTACTAATAGTACTCCCATTCTAAGTGGAGGAAATTGAGGCACAGAAGTTACTTGTCCAAAGACACCACAGGTTGTGATCTGTACTCCTTGTTAGGATTCAGATACAGTTTGTTGCTAAAAACATTTCCTATACATAGTAACTGGCTGGGTTCTCTAGTAATGCCGTATACTTCTGTGCTCTCAAGAGTTCAGTAGAGCTGTGGGTGGGCATTTGGTCCTGTGTGTAGCATTGTTTTGTAGGAAAATGGACTTTAAGAGCCATTTTAAAGAACTTTAGAGTTACCTACAGTTTGTGTAAAATCTCAGCTCTACCTAAACTAGACATGTACATACTGTAATGTTTCAAGTCACTGAAATATTTTTTTCTTTTTAAGTTTTGCTCCAGATTACTATGATTGGGGACAACAAACTAACAGCTTCCTGGCACAAGCAGGAACGTTGCAAGACTCAACTTTGGATCCTGACAAACCAAGCGTTGGGTAGCATCAGTTAACAGTTTTATGGACGATTGCTCAGATGAAGAGCTTCAGAAAAGTGTAGTGACCGCTGAATTTTTAGGGCACTTTTCCTTAAGAAATAGAACTTGATTTTTATTTGTTATAGGTTTCCAGATGGCTCCAGAGGACTAAGCAATAATGTAGATTGATAAACCCTTATTTTAGTACTAAAGAGGGAGCCTTGCTATTTCAGTGGGTATAATTTAAACTTTTTAAAGAAAATCTGTACTTTTATAAAGATGTATTTTATATAACTTAAATAATAATGCTAAAGCATACTAGGGTTTTTTTTTTTTTCTTGAGAATGTTACTGCAATTATGTTGTAGTTTGCACAGACTTTTATGCATAATTCACTTTAAAAATATAGAATATATGGTCTAATAGTTTTTTAAAGCTTTTGGACTAAAGTATTCCTCAAATCTTACCTCTTCAGGTCACTGATGGTCACTCCGATTCTGAGTGCCGCATGGGTAGCCTCCTAAAATACAATTGACAACTTAGCCAATTGCAACTCCAGTGTTGATAGTTAAAATGAAATAGAATAGCAGCAGACTGTAAGGTCTTTAGAGATTTTTTTTTTAAGGTTCAGGCAATAGGTCCCTCAGAGAATCTCTTAAGGTTTGCCCAAAGATTGGTGCTTCCTTTGAGTAGGGCGCTAATGTATACACATTAATGATAACAAGTTGATAACATTAAAAATGTAGCTGACTTATCCTATTAAACCTCCTCTGCTATATTCACAGATTCTGCATAGTTTTTCTTTCAGCCTAATGAAATCTAGTATGCATTACCTCAGGGCTACATCAAGAGTATACCCTTTTCCCAACTCACTGAATGTTGATTACATTCAAGGAGAAAATAAGAGGTTCCATAAAGGGCATTAATAACAAATATCCCAAGCCCTTAAGCTAAGACTATGTGGAATCCTAATAGTTTTTTCTGTAATCTCCGACTATATTTAAAATAATGCCCTTACTTCTAAATAGCTCTATAAAGAGCCTGTTGGAAGCTGCACATGTAAAAATGGCAATAGCACTGCAATATGCTGTAGCATGATGCCTGTCAGCCACGTAAAGGGTATGTTCCAGACAAGTCCTTAAGTCATCTTTCATTTAAGTAAAAAACATGTTACGAAATATTGCCTCCCACACCAGAAGTGCCATTCTAAAAGCTCCACTGTATATATCCTGGAGCCATAAACCTACCTATTGGGAGGCTATGTGCTCTGCTTTTCTATAAAACAGAGATAAGGTTCTAGAGGAAGTACTGTTACCAGAAACAAGGTACCTTTCTGCTATGCCTAGGAATGTTCATCTGGGGACAGAGGGAAGGTCCAATGAAAAGGAACTTACATTAACAAATCCTACGTGATGCAACCCATTTCAAATGACTCTTCTCATTGTGATCTTCAGAATAACTGATCCCTGGGCACTGACTTCACAGAGATGAAGTCTACTATTGTTTTGTTAGTATTTAAAATTGGGATCTCAAGTTTCAAGTCGATCATCATTGGGCTTTTCATTTGTATAGAACACCTTTACTCTGTGTAATCCTACATAACATTCTTGTCTTTCAGTACATGAAAAAACTGGGGTTACAGCATTTAAAATAGTTGTCAGGAAAAATTCTACACTGAAGTGAACCCTACACTGTTATTCAAGTTGCCTTAACACATTATAAGCTATTATTCCAAATAGCTTTACCAGGTTATTGTGGTCACACTGTATTACTAATACTTGGGAGAATTTAAAGGCAGACTCAGCATGTTTTAAACTCCTTTAAGTCACATCTTCAGAAAGTCCTGCAGTCCTTCAGTATTAGGTCAGCTAAGGGAAGATACAGTTTTTAAAATAGTGATAAGAAGTATCACTAATACCATACTCATCCTATAATAAGTAAACATAATTCTGTTGTTGCTGGCAGAAAAATTGGAATACTCAGCATTAACTGATACAAGTCAATCTACTTTTATGATGAAGCTACTGGGATTTATTTGAACTGTTATTTTTATTGGATAGTATAAAAATGTTCTAAGTGCCCATTTTTCTCATTCCCTCCCTTTTTTTTTTTTTTTGAGACGGAGTCTCGCTCTGTCACCCAGGCTGGAGTGCAGTGGCCGGATCTCAGCTCACTGCAAGCTCCGCCTCCTGGGTTTATGCCGTTCTCCTGCCTCAGCCTCCTGAGTAGCTGGGACTACAGTCGCCCGCCACCTCACCCGGCTAGTTTTTTGTACTTTTTAGTACAGACGGGGTTTCACCGTGTTAGCCAGGATGGTCTCGATCTCCTGACCTCGTGATCCGCCCGTCTCGGCCTCCCAAAGTGCCGGGATTACAGGCTTGAGCCACCGCACCTGGCCTCATTCCCCTTTTAAAAATGTAATGCTAAAATTTCTAGAAGTGTTATAAACACAGAATACAAAAAAAACTATGATTGGTTACATCAAACTCTACTTCCCTCTTAGTAAGTAAGGAAAATTAAAATTCCCTTTGGCTTTCTAATTTACTTGTTCTGCTAGGTACACTAACAAAACTACTACTTGTGGCTGGGCGCAGTGGCTCACGCCTGTAATCCCAACACTTTGGAAGGCCAAGGAGGATCATGAGGTCAGGAGATCGAGACCATCCTGGCTAACATACTGAAACCCCATCTATACTAAAAATACAAAATATAGCCGGGCATGGTGGCGGGCGCCTGTAGTCCCAGCTACTCAGGAGGCTGTGGCAGGAGAATGGCATGAACCCGGGAGGCGGAGCTTGCAGTGAGTGGAGATCGTGTCACTGCACTCCAGCCTGGGTGACAGAGCAAGACTCTGTCTCAAAAAACAAAAAAAACCTACTTATGTGGAATATTGAATGCTAAGAGGAAAAGAATGGTGATTACTGGTTGCAGAATAACCCAAATGTTCATTTGTTTTAAAGCAACACGATGAAATTAAAGCCCTGATAATTTGAAAGTTAAAGTGTATGGGGAAGAGGGAATCACTAAAAATGTACCATCATTTAGCTAAGTCTGATGCAACACTGAAAAGTTTCATGGGAATGTTTCTGGGTAACTATTGGAAATAGTTTTTCTGACTATTGGAAAAGGTGTCTACCTCTGCAGTTAATTGTTTAAGAATAGTGTATAGATATTTTTCATTGGCTCTTTATCCTTTTTACAATGAACTCAGTTGAGCTGCTGATTAAAACATCTAGAGTATGTTACACAGAGCTGTGACTGTAAGAAGGTTTGACTATTACAATATACACATCAATCGTATTTATGCCAATTCTCTCTTGAATGTATCAGGCAAATTAAAAGCTTTGCTGGTTAAATTTAGCTGCTTAGATCAGGCACACTCACTAATGTCTCCTCAAATTTCCTCTTTCACCAAAATCCAAGTCACTTGCTCTTTGTTGACCTCAGTGCTGGGCCAACACCTAGTTGAACACTTAAACCTTATTAAGAAGAAAGGAATACATAATAGTAAACCCTAGAACTTGAGAAGTGCTGTCAGAAAAAGGTTCTCATTTTTATATATCTCATTATATAGTGGATATTACTTACTTTTAACAGTAAAGATAAACTTACATTAGAACTAAATGGGTCTAAATATTTGAAACTTTTATCGAGATTTCCAACTAGACAAACTTTATCTAAAAAATACCACTCTTTCACTTTAGATTGTTGCATGATGAAGAATAGACTAGCATAGATCTGATCAAAGACACATCTAATATGCATTCCCAGTTTTCATCTTATGTGAGAATTGTATTAAAGGACATTTCTAACTGTATTATCATGCTACTTCAGACATGGGTCCAGATGGAGGAGCTGCTGAAAAGGATCAGGCTAAAATTGTGGAATTCTTCTCATCAAAAAGATTCAATTAACAAACTGATTAAAGTGAGGAAACACTGAACAAGGAACAGTGAGGGTAAGAGAGTGGGATTCAATCTCTATTGAGTACCTATTATATGTGAGGCGCTGCGCTAGGCACTTGTCACATTTCTGTGGATCCTAGTCTATACTCAGAACACCCACATATTAACGTTACTCTAGGCCCTTAGCAAGGATACATGAAGAACTCTTGCACCAAGGGTCAAAATAAGTTGAAGTCTTCTGAGGATGTTCCTGTGCCCATCACCTAGATCTGTGTCAGAGTCCCTGTACCTGTTGTCCGGTTCCTATGGGCCAGGGCACTGATACTACATTCATTCCGTGTGGAGTTCTGAGATTGGCTGCCCAGGTCATTAATTATGGGTTCAGGGTCAGGGTCGTAAGATCTAAATCCAGTGACTCAGCAACTCCTAATGACAGGTTCCTCCAAGTCTGGATTCTCTACCTCTAGTCCTTGAGCTGTGGCTGGGCCCCGTCTTCTGTTTTCTCAAACTGATAAACATCTTGCTAATACTAATTCTCTAGCTCCAAACCTGGTCTGCCCTTTTGGACCTTGGATGCCCTACCATTCAAAATATTATACTTTCTATGTCCAGAACAGATTTTCTGCCCCCGAACTTAAGTGGAGATCAGATGCCTATAAGATTCCCAAAATTGCCCCCTTTTTCTATTGATTCCTGTTACTATGACCTTTTTCCCCATCTCTCACTAACCTACAACAGTCCCTACAGTCTCTTGGCAGGCGCCAGTTACAGTGCTCCTTGAAGGGATTAACTGAAGTATATAAAACATGCATTTATCCTAAACAAATAGTGCTTTACCAGGGCCATTAAATATGTGTAACTTAGTATCCTTTGAGTGCTATCTCCTTGGTGAATTCACTAGCCAAGAGTCTGCGCTCTAGGTTTGCAGGTTTAAAGCTCATCAAAGGGAACAGAACACTCACACATTTGGAGGTATATTCTATGAAGGGAAGCCATAGCGGAAGTTAAATGATACCAGAGTGTTGCTTGGAATGTTAACTCTGCTCTCTGACCAGTGTTAGGGGAATGACTTTAATTGATTAAGAGCATCAATCTATGACAATCTAATGGCACTGTCAAGACAACACTAAGATTCATTCACATTGAGGACACCTTCTGCACTAGATAGGTGTCTAGTTGGCCATTCCCTTTTGGTTGATGTATTTTTTTCTTTGGTGCAGTCTCACTATAATCTAGTTAGGTTATAATGTCTAAGTTATATGATGGTAGGAATGTTTGTCTGTTTTGTTCACTGCCGTAGTCCCAGCTCCTATAACAGTGAATGAATAGTCAAATCCTGGTTTTTGGTAGATGTCTTTTTTTTTTTTCCCCCCCACAGTAACTTCTTGCACTTGCACTTTTATCCACATATTGATTTTACAAGTTTAGTGCTCTTTTAAGGTTCCTCCCTCTTGTCTTATGAATCTTTGACAGATACCCAACTTTTGGGCAAATAATTTGTAATGGAATAAAAAATGAAAGGGATTTTACATGAGAACAGTCCTTAAATCATTCCTAGAGACTATCTTAAAATAGAAGCACTGAGATGACATTCTGTCCACACAGGCATTGCCTCCTGCCTCTATCTGCCGTCATCTGTTTGGGCACTGCCAAATAGAACACTGTAATAATTTAAAAGTAATAAAAAGTATATCTTTATCAGGTAAAAGTATCACAAGAACAGTGATAAAATAAGTGGTTAAAAGTGCAACCCTTGAGAGAGAACTTGAGTTGGACAGTTTTAGTATGCTCTATATGTTAAGAATTTTTTAAAGCTCATATGGAAAAATAAACAAGAACAGTTAGAAAAACTGTATTAAAAAAAAAAGTGGTGGGGAAGAATGAGGGAGAACCAGTGCACTAGAGTAAAACTACAGCCTGGGTAATGAAAGCAGTGTGGTACTAGTGCATGACTAAATAGACCAGTGAAATAGAAACAGATGCAGATACACAGCTAAATACGTATGAGGATTCTAAGATAAGATCCGTGTAGCCTCTCAAATTCATCAGGAAAAAACAAACAGTTCAATAAATAATATTGGAACAACTGGGTTAATCACCTGTGGAAAAAATTAGGTTAGATCCATAACTTACATCTTATGCCAGAATGTACTTCAAAGGTTCAAAATTTAGATGTAGAATTTAGGTGAATTATTCTATTGCTCTGGATTGAGAAAAACATTCTAATTATGACTCAAAATCCAGGAACCACTAAAAAATTGGTAATTCAGACTACATAAAATTTTTTTAAAACTCATGACAAAACCATTATAAGCAAAAGACAGATGACAAATTGGAAAGAAAATATTTGCAACTCATTACTGTCAACGGGTTCATGTCCCTAATAAACAAATAACATATCAACGATATAGTAGAAAAATGGATAGGAACAAAATAATATGGGAACACAAAAGGAAATACAAATGGCTCCTAAACACATTAAAAGGTGATCAACCTTAGGCATCATAAAAATGTACATACTGAGCAGTCAGGTGTGTGCTGTGCACCTATAATCCAGGCTATTCAGGAGGTTAAGGCTGGAGGATCACTTGAGCCCACGAGTTTGAGGCTACGGTGAACTATGATCATACCACTGCACTCCAGCCTGGGTGATAAGGTGGGACCCTGTCTCTTTTAAGGGAAAAAAAAGGAAAATAAAATAATTTACACATTGATATATATTTTCATCTATCAGAATGGCCAGAATCCAACATTTTAATAACACATCCATTGGTAAAGCTGCAGGTTAGCAAGTGCATTTTAGATGCACTTGCTAACATTTTAGATGGTATGTAAAATGATATACATTTTTTTAGATGGTATGTAAATTGATGACTACCCCTATGAAAGACAATATGTCAGTATCTTTCAAAATTATAAATGCACACAGTCTTTGCCCCCAAAATTCTTATCTTTGGGAATGTATTCTGCAGGTACAATATTTATATAAATGTGAAATGATGTATGTACAAGGTCTGGAAACAACTGAACTGCCCATTAATAGAGGACTGGTTAATTCAACACTGGCACATTCACATAATAGACTACCAAGCATCTACTTAAAAAATGAGAAAACTAGTCATATGTGAAGACTGCCAAGAAATACTAGGTGAAAAAAATGAAATATTATGTATATGATGTCAATTTTTGAGTAAAAATGAGAGAAAAACATAAGACTTTCCATTTGTTTATGTTTGTACATGTCTAAAACAGTGTGAATGGAAACCTAAGAAACCAAGAACGCAGGTTATTAATGGTGGGAGATGTGTGTGCAGTCTAGGAAGCTGGGCCAAGGATAGAAGGAAGACATTCACTGAGTAACTTTTTCTACTGTTTGTTTCTTTTAACCATGTGAATGTATTACCTATTCAAAAAAATTAAATAAAATAAGCATATTTTATAAGCTTTATGATTCAATACAAATCAAATAATGCTTTTAATAGTTCCCACTTTGTAGCTGAATGGTAAAAGGCCAACTTACAAAACATCACAAAGTTTCTAGAATCAGTCTTTCTCGTCTCAAATTCTTGCTACACAACCTAGAATTTGTGATTATAGACAGGTTACTTAGCCTTTTTTATCCTCAGTCTTCTCACTTATAAAACAGAGAAGTAATTGTACCTACCTACTAGTGCTGTTGTGAAGATCAACGGTGTATTTATTTAAACCCAAACTATGCATGTAAAAGCCCTTCATAGAGTGCCAGCCAATGCTTGCCATTATAAGAAACAACCTCAGACTACTGATAAATACATCTTCTCCCTTCTCCGCAGGTTACAATCAATTCCTCATGCCATAAAAGGAAACACTTAAAATAGGGGGAAAAACAAGACAGAAAAGATTGCAGAAACCTGTACTTTAATTCACATTTTCTAGATTATGGTAGGTACAACAGTAAATTATTTGGAATTCTGTTCAAAAATCAAAGCTTCACCTGTAGATATTACTTAAAATACAGTACACAAGATTTGTGTTTTTTTGTTTTTTTACCAAATAATTTCCATGATACCATGTACCTAATCTGCATATTTTGGTGAGTAGCTGTGGTTTCTGCAGGTACCTCAGTTTGCAAACTACTGAGAGGTTTACTGTGAACTGTTCCCAAATTTTCAGCTGAAGGCAATGCTGATGAAGATCAAAATAGGTGTCCTTTCTTAATTGCGGCACACAGGCAAAGTTCAGAAGTAGGCACAGAGTTTCATACACATACAGAGAAGAAAAATATCGAATAATTCACAATGTCAAAAATGTCAAAACGTTTTGACTTATCAAATTTTAAAACTGTGGAGTCTATTACTATTCTGTCTGATCCTCCTCATCATCTAAGAATCAAAACAGGAGAAACATTCAAAGTTTACCAATTTTAATATATAGTTTGTCTAACTTACATAGATGCCACTTAAGTAAAAAATAAACTTATGCCATTGAAGGAAGGAATAGTTTCCTTTTCTTCATTTTCATTACTTCATCAGCAGTTACAATCATTTCTGTCAGTTATATTATCAAGTGCTTTAAATTAGGTGATGAGATAAAGACAAAATGCCAAGAGCACCAGCAAAGCATTTTTACAATGCAGACAGTACTCTAGTATAATATCACTTCACAACAAAAGATGTGAATTGGAAAAACAGTTTATATCACAAGAACCATAAAATGTCACCAGGCTCACACAATCGTTTAAGAAATAAAACACATACACAAAAATGTAGGCTGCCCCCTACAATCTAATTTATGATAAAATAAAGTTAATCAAAATGAATTTCAGCCTAAGAAGAGTTCATTTATTTTCTTAGTTGTGAAAAAAATTAGTTAAGAACCTTAAAAAGAACTTTCTACTCTAACTAGATCTTTTAATTTCCTAGAACATATTCTAATATACTAGTTTTCCTAAGCTTGAAACAAATCACAGTACAGAAATAAATAAATGGACATGAGCAAGGATTTTCTCTAATAAACAGTTTAAATAATAGCCTTTAACTGAGGGAAGGGTGAAATAACACTATCAAAAAGTTCTTTACATTTATAGTAATAAACAAAGTGCAAATTTTTCACATCTTAAAACTGAATGAATACTAAGAATAATTCTTACTAATTTACTAAACTAATTGGATAGTCACTTTTTAGACAGTTTGCCTTAAGGCCGCCCCCCCGCCCACCATACAATACTTGCATCCCTCAAGAAAAAGTAGAGGAGGCTCCAATCAAGTCAGCCTTTTAGACAACTTAACAAAAAATATCACCACCATCAGTAACAAAACCCCAAGTTTATAACGGTTTGAAATTAGGTGAGAAAATAAATAACTCTGAGACCTTAATACCCCCGGCACATCCCACCGAGAGATGGCTAAGTATTTTTAAGAGGGGTGAGCCAAGCCAGCTAAATACAATGTTTTAGATGTCACCAAATCATCAATGAACACATTTCAGACTTTGGCAGGATAAAATATGGATTTAAGAGCACTTATTCTTTAATTCAGAAAAGACTAAAGAGTCTAAGGAAAAACTCTAGATCTTGTACCTACATTACTTCTACACAGATGCAACTTTCCAAATTGTATCTGCTGACATTTAAAAAAAATCAAGATTTTAAATATTGTTTAAAGATTTTAAATCCCAGATTTAGAAAATGACAGTTTAGAACTTGAGAGTCCTCTGTTGCTACGAAACACAGAAAGTACCGTTTATGTACAGTGAAAAGAAAAGGTGAGGGGAGAGGAAGCTTAAAGGAGGGTTGACTTAATCTACCTTTTTATATATTCTGTCAGGGAAAAGCACACTGAGTTTGAGGATTGCATAGACTGTATTCTAAAATAAATCCTTTAAAAATGCTTACTTTTAAGTGAAAATAGCAACTTTTGTGTATACAATATTTTCAGTTGGCATTATAAATTCATATAATCCCATTTAAATTTTACCAAGAAGTAATCTGTTAAATATTTCTGCAATGTTTTCTTTCTAAAAGTAACTGACAATTTCCAAAATGTCTTTGTCCCTAAAATTTCTAGGGGCAAAGAAAAGCAAAATCAAAAGGAGTTCTAAGTAAAAGAACACTCTTGGGCCAGCCCATTACACACATGAAATCTGGCTGGGTAGCATAGGGGAGAGGTCTTGTTCACCTTTATCAAAGCAGGTCCTTTAGACTGGAAACAGCAACAATAACAGCAACTAAAAGCTGCAACTAAAATCCAGTGAAATTGAAGTCCTGGGGAATCTTAAGGAGTTTCTGTAACTATGTACTGAAAGGGCCATTCATCATGGTGACAGTTCCAGATTCTAGAAATATTATAATATTTCTTTATATTATAGAAAGTGACACACACAGAGTGAGGCAAGAGTAAAAACATTAAGAAGCATTGATAATTTTTTATCACTGACACCAGCCCTAAGCAACATTTGTTCCCTAGTTCTCCTTTTCCATATCAGACTGTGAACAGTGTTCTTAGAATGCAGACATAGTCATCTAAAGTTTGACAACTGGAAATAAAGGATAATAGAATAAAAACAAAACCAATTCTAAAAAAAATAGAATTTTCAGCACATGAAAACACATGAAATTAAACACAGAATTAGTATAACTTACATGTTTTAAAAGTATATACTTCATTTATAAATATCTCTAGTTGATACTATTAAGAATCATAAATATTCAAGTGAGCATTTAAATTTTCTATTTAAGAGTTCAGAATTCTTGAAGTCAGACTAGTCTCTTTCTGCTGAATGTCCACAATTAAAAGGCTTTCCACAGTCACTTTATGTCTCTAGTTAGACACATAAAAGCCTTTATTACCTACTGTGTTGTAATAAGACTTTAAAATTCTGTAAGTCTCTTATACTTGTAGAAAGCCTGTAGAAGAAAGAAAAAGCATATTAGTAAAGTTAACATGATGCATACATATTTCAAATTATTGATATTGTTACATAAGCTATCATTTGAAAGCAAAATCTAAAATAAAAACCACCGAACACTGAAGCTTCCATGTTTAAATGAGTATTCTCATTAACATTGGTTTAGAAGGGGCAAAGGAAGCCTGTTACTTCATACTATCTGCAGACACTAGATTAATAATGGGAACGGTGATATGAATAATTCTTAATAAAGAATCTCAAATCATTTACGATTGGTCTAATAAATTTATTTTGCACATTTCTCTTCGAATGACTGCTCTTTACTCAGTGTTGCCCAAACACACTAATTTGTCTTATGTTATTAGCTCCCTACGGGTAGAGACTCTTACTCTGTCTCCTGTTGAGTGTCTCTCCTGTGCCCCATACCCACGGATGCTTCTAGTATTCAGTAAATGATTACTGACTGATTACATGAAGTGCTGCTTAGACCAGGCCAAAAAGGAAAACTCACGGATAGGAAATCTAAAAAAGTAATTCTATGTACAATTCAGGGGTGATAGAAGAAAAGTCTTTAACTATTTGATAGAAGAAAAGTTATTCCTTAATCACTGAGGAGGACAGGCAATGCTCTAAGCCCATCACATATATGATCTCACTATCAGGAAACAAACAAAGAAAGCAGTGATTTGCCTGAGTTCATACACTACTAAAGAGCAGGCCAGGATTCCAGAACTTTAGGACCCCTGATTCTGAGTCCATTACTCTAGGGAACAATAAAAGGTAATAAGCCCTAGATATAGAACTAAAACCAGAAAGGCTGCATTTGTGAGTGTTTTTTATGAGGCCGAAGGAAATTTTCAATTGTTTTGAAATTCTCAATTGTTTTCATCTTTCTCAACTTGGACTTAAGAGATGCTTAAATTATTTACAATAATTTTCAATTTATTTAAATTTCATTCAGTATCTCCTGTGTTATCTTTCTACAGGCCTCATAAGTGGACTGAATTTTTTATGAAATGCCAGTTCATGGATAGTCTGTATCTATCCTGTGTCTGAAATCTCAACCTACATAGTCATCTTTAAATACAGGGAAGCAACAGGTGAAATCCTTGCTATTGAGATGGGAAATGGCCAGGTACAGTGGCTCATGCCTGTGATCCCAGCATTTTGGGAGGCCAAGACAGGAGAATCACTTGAAGCCAGGTGTTTGAGACCAGACTGAACAACAAAGTGAGACCCCATCTCTACAAATTTTTTTTTAATTAGTCAGGCAAAATAGCATGTGTCTGTAGTCCCAGCCACTCGGGAAGCGCAGGTGGAAGGAACGCCTGACCCCAGGATTTGGATGCTGCAGTGAGCCACGATCGCACCACTGCATTCCAGCCTGGATGACAGGGCAAGACCCTCATTTCTTTAAAAAAAAAAAAAAAAAAAAAGCGGGGGGACATATAATAAATCTGTTTTTAATTTAACTGCTTCTTTTTAACTTAAAACACATTAAGAAAAACAAGAAATAATCTGTGTATTACTTAGTCCCCTATTTTTTTTAAAAAATTCTTCCTCAAGTTGACTTTTTTCTCTTTTTCCCCAAGGAAGCACAGTATTATTTTCTGTGATTCTTTTCCTTCTGTTCTGTATTCCTCAGTTGGCATTACATGTATCTCTGCCGGCAAATTCAAATTATTTTTTAAACCTCTGGTGGTATAAACAAGCAAGCAAATTATATGTCTGAATACAGAAGTAAATCATGTAGAAATGAGTGAAAGAAAAATGACCTTTGAGCTTCAGAAATAAAGAGCATACTGCAGGAAAGAGGTGAGAAAAGAACAAAATAGTAATGAAAATTTAAGAAAAATAAGGAGCAGATGAAGCTTTTTTCTTTCATCATCTTCTCAATCACACATTCCTTACTCCTGCTACTGTAGTTGCACAAGTTATAGCCAAGTAAAAAGAATATTAGAAGAATATCTTCCTCACAAAATTAAGGCGGCAAACGGAAAAACACTGGCAGTTGGAAACTCAGTTTTTCCTGTGACCTGCAGAGAAACTGGCTTGTCAGCATTAAGGCCTCTCAAAATTAGTACAGGTACAATACAAATTTTTTTTTGTCAACAAAACAAACCCTACTTTTAGCAGAGAAGATTATCTTTGCAGTTTGTTGAAACCCAATGGGAAATCAAAAATCTTCAACACATAATAGTTCTTACCTTCCAAAAGCATTTAAAAGAGCAACTATTTCCTGTCGGGTGAGCTGGAAGCCTTTAGATGGACTATTCTCTGGAAGCTTTTGGATTTCTTTTTCAGAGAATAATATCTTCAGGGCAGTTCCTAAACCCTGAGTCTAAAGAAAATACCAATAAACTCATAATTAACTTTATATAATAACAACTAGTATAAAGGCTTAAAGGAATATATAGCCACTGTTATGACAGTTAGAAAATTCATATGAACTGAGCTTTTCACAAAAATGTTACTATAGTTTCTACTTTCTCACAGGTTATGCATATGATAAACATATCTGAGCTGTTAAGGAAACCTGAATAGTCTAACACTTAATTGAATACATATCATACTATTCCAAATTATTAAAATGCCTTTTTTAACCTTGAAAATATCATATTAGGATTACAATGGTCAATCTGTAACCATAAAGGATTTTTTTACAGCTTTTAGCAATTCAAAACTCAGAGATTAATGATACCTACACTTAATAATTTCTCAATTATTAGCACTATAGAAAAAGACATATTTGATTTCAGTGTAGCCTCCCTCCATTGTAATAATTCTGTCTCTTAATTTCCTATGAATTATCAGCTTTGTAAGAAAGAGAGAAAATATTCACCCATCCTTTGACACTGGCTTACACAGAGTAACAGACCTCTCATATGGAGCTTTCCCATTGTCACTAAGTGACCTTCTTTTGCTCATTTAAACAAATTCAATGACCAAGACTTGATATTTCAATCTTTTTATATAATTACATTTTACCTTTCTATATACATATGTAAAATACAAATATACTCAGTTCGTAATGACCACCAACTTCACAAATGAATCTGGTATCATACCAATAGAAACACAGACACAATGAAACTAAAATCACTAAAGAATAATATGAGAAACATCCTTTCACATACATGTAACACATATACCTTAATATATTTCATCAACAGAAAAAACACTTTGGATCTGCCTATTTCTAAATTCTAATTCAATGAACAATAAGGACATTTTAATAAAAAGCTTGCACTCAGTGGAAAAAATAAAGGTTAGCAATGGCTTCAAAAGAGAAGACAGTACATGTACCTGTAATTTTCCCCATAATCTGCATTTGTCACAACCAACACAGTCCATTATACGGGAGATATTCTTGAAATGTAATCGGAATTCCTCCTAGCAAGCAGAAAATTTTTTCAGTCTAAGTAGACTTTTAAAATTAAACTTCATTTGGCTAAATGGTAAGTTTTGATGCTTATTAATAAATCAGTTGCGTTTTTCGTTTGAGAAGGAGTTTTGCTTTGTCGCCCAGGCTAGGGTGCAGTGGCGCAATCTTGGCTCACTGCAACCTCCACCTTCCAGGTTCAAGGGATTCTCCTGCCTCAGCCTCCCAAGTAGTTCAGATTACAGGCACATGCCACCTTGTCCAGCTAATTTCTGTATTTCTAGTAGAGACGGGGTTTCGCCATGTTGGCCAGATTGGTCTTGAACTCCTGACCTCAAATGATCCACCCACCTCGACCTCCCAAAGTGCTAAGATTATGGTGTGAGCCACCATATCCAACCTGAGTTGTGTTTTGCAACAGTAAAGAAAAATATGTGAACTTATATAACACGGCACATAAAATACTGACATCAATGGAAAGTATAAAATTCATTCTGCATATTAATTCAATAAACTTTTCACTTAGGAGCTACTTTATGCAAAGCACCAAAATATGCACTATGGGAGACACAAAAGTAAATAATACATGGTCTTACTTTTAAGGAACTTAATTGCTGCTTCCATTTGTTATCTACATACAACCAACAATAAATATGTCTAGTGTATGTTTCACTTATTTTTGATTCTTTGCTTTGTGTAAGCCTATATCAGAAAGCTAGTCCTAGAACAAAAATCAATTTTTGTATCACTCCTTAGTACCATACTATGTATGTTTGTCATGGTTGCTGAATCAACATGAATGATAACAGGCCTGTATGAGACATGTGGTCCCACAGTCCTCTATGTTTGCCAATGCAGTTTTTATGGAGATGCTTGCTGGATCCCTCTATTTTGCTGTAATAGTTTCCTACACTAGCCAGGCACGGTGGCTTACACCTGTAGTCCCAGCACTGTGGGAGGCCAAGGTGGGTGGATCACTTGAGGTCATAAGTTCGAGACCAGCCTAAACAACACAGTGAAACCTCATGTCTACTAAAAATACAAAATTAGCCAGGCGTGGTGGCACATGCCTGTAATCCCAGCTCCTTGGGAGGCTGAGGCAGGAGGATAGCTTGAACCTGGGAGGCGGAGGTTGCAGTGAGCCGAGATCGCACCACTGCACTCTAGCCTGGGCAACAAGAGTGAAATTCTGTCTCAAAAAAGTTTCCTACGCTGGGGAAATTCTCCTGCCTGTAAGCACTTGTGTGCAATATGCCTTTAAGGTTAGTCTCACCTTATCTGCAGATAAGATTGGTTAAGAGAAAATTTCCTCATTTGTTTCACATGGCAACTGTAGAAAATAAAAATCATTTTATTGCATTGAGGGAACTATTTTATTGCATGAAGCTGGAGGCAAGTAGCCTGGAAACTCTGGCTACCACAAGCCCTGACCAGCTGCCAAAGGGTTGAAAGGACTCAATACCTTGGCAAAGAAAGACAATATAAATAGAACACAAAAACTCCTGTGCTGGTCATATTCTCATGTAATATAAGTTCTTTGCGTCAGATGGAAAATGGACATAGGTTCTCCTTCATACATCCTTGACAAACAGCAAACACAATCCCAGCATTGTGTAGTTAAAAGCTTGTTGTGAGACTCTTAGGCTTTGCTTATCTCACTTTCCTCATCTACAAAAACATCCATAATTATAGTTGCCCTATTACACAAGATCATTCTGAAGATTAAAAGTAGAACATATGTATCGATACTTAGAAAACAGGAAGCATTATAAAAATTCATTATAAAACGAATTATAAAATTCATTATAAATTAAAAATTCATTATAAAAATGAATTAACATATTAAATACCAAAATGGCAATATACCTCTAAAACAACTGTAAAATAAAACAATCTTCCAACACTAAAATATAGTTGTGACTAAATTACTTATTTCAGAAATACCAAGAAAGTCTCACCAATGGAGAATCACTCAGTATTGATTTATTGGTTCCTATAGTACATCCACATCTAAAACATCTTGGGGTCAAATGTGTTTTAGAATTCAGAAGTTTTTAAATTTTAGAAATACAATACATGTACTATATATTATGAAACATCTCACCAGAGTGTGAGGAAACACCCTGCAGTCAAATCCATTAATGTTTCTGTAGCAAAATATAAAAAATTCATACCAAGCAGAATTTGAAAAACAAAAAGCCCCACAAAACTATGAGTATCTGCTATATTCTTATATCAGTTTAGGTCAGGTTTTGCTAAAAAATTACCTTGTACTAAACATGAGAAAATGTTTCAGTTTTTGAAACTACCCGGATTTCAGAAGTGCATATAAAAGACTGTGAAGCTGTACTCCAGGATCATTTGTGGCCAGGTATGGTGGCTCGTGCCTGTAATCCCAGGTACTTGGGAGGCTGAGGTGGGAAGACAGCTTGAGGCCAGGAGTTTGAGACCAGCCTGGGCAACATAGCGAGACCTCGTCTCAAAAAATAAATTTAAAACTAAAAAAAAAAAAAAAGAATATTTGCCAATTTCAAATACTTTTATGAACATTTTAAGGGTACAATGTGTTTCTTAATGTATTTTAAGCAAATGAAAATAAAGAACACCTAACATAAAGTTTGGTAATGTTCTGAAAACATTCTCCTTTTGATATCACAGGTTAACAGGTAGTTTTTACCTTTTAAGTTAGTCCAAAGGGACAACAACATAATAGTTTCAAAAACTGTAACATTCCATAAAATACACTTTAGAAAAATATGTTATTTATTGCCCTCAAAGTGGCTAAAAGCTCATGGTATTTTGAAAGCTGCATCAAAACAACAATATACACTGATTTTAAATAAAGAAAACTTTCCCTCAACTAGTATCTTTTAAAAAGACATTTATAAAGGTGTTATAGGACATACTAACGACCAACGATTCACTAAGCAGTTGGTCAATAGGAACTGAGAAAGAAATATGGAAAAGGCTTTTTGTACCATTTGCGGTAAAATCCAATCAGAACAACTTTGACAAGCTGGAAAACCGGGAAAGAAAATAGTTTAGATGAACAGCGTTAAAACATAACCAGCAAGCTGCTCCTAACCCCATATGTCCCAGTCAGGAACTTTTTACCTTTAGTGACTTGGCCCCTTTTTTGTCACCTGCAAACATGGATTTCTCATCAAAGTGCATGGGAAAGGACCTGAGAAAATGATAGTGTTGTAATAAGTTACACATGAAAAATCCATGTACTCTGTATCAGAAATCTGATAAAATTTTCTATCCTTACAAATATTTAAAATTCATTATTTACTCTGATTTAAGGTTTGGTAATGTAGAAAAAGTGACAAACAGTTCACACATAAACTATTTCATAAAAGACTAAAGCAAGACACAGATGGCTGTTAAATTTGGTAATACTGTAATGTTTTAAATAAATGACATAATCTAAAAAATTAACTGAAAACAATCTATGTAAAAAATAGGCAATATTCTCTTAATATTCTTTAAAAATTTAATACATAATTTACTTTAAACACTTCTTAATCTTTCTCCTCCATGCTTATTTTAAAAACCAGTAAACTTGAGTTTTCTTGACCAAGTGTTTTGTTTAAAAGGTTATATTCTAGAAGGTAAGGCCAACGTTTCCTTACATATCCACCCCAATGCAAACACACGTATAGTATCACCTAAATTTAAATATAGTAACTAGAGGCCAGGCACGATGGCTCACGCTTCTAATCTCAGTACTTTGGGAGGCAGAGGAGGGTGGATCACTTGAGGCCAGGAGCTTGAGACCAGCCTGTTCAACATGGTGAAACTCCATCTCTACTAAATACAAAAATTAGCTGGGTGTGATGGCACACACCTGTAATCTCAGTTACTCAGGAGGCTGAGGCACAAGAATTGCTTGAACCTGGGAGGCAGAGGCTGCAGCGAGCCAAGATCGTGCCACTGCACTCCAGCCAGGGCAACAGAGCAAGCCTCTGTCTCAAAAATAAGTAAGTAAATAAAGTGACTAGAAGAATACAAAATTGGTAGAAAGAACATTAAAGTAGCACTAAATTTTGATACTACATAAAATTTAGTGATATTTTAAAGCACTATTCTCAAGTGTGAAAATTTCTAGAAAAAAAAAAAACAGCCTTATTGATGCTTTCTCATCAACATTTTCAGAAATATTTTTAAATTCTGTTGTTCTATTGATCACTTTCCTTTTCTGTTCTACATCTCCCCTTGCTTAACTGTTAGGAGTCAGTTTTTGTGCTTTAAGTGCTACCTCATTTGAATACAGAGAGGAGAATTTCAAATCACGGATAGTCAATTCTTACTTTGTATCTTGAAAGATATTCAGTAGAAGAGTTTTTGTGTCAGCATCTTCTTCTGCATTTCCAGTGTAAAGATCGACAATTGAGCGCTCAAAATATGGAGCCACCTTTGACAAAGCTCGAAGCTCAATCAAGTATAAAAAGTAAAGATTCTTGAGCCTTCTCGGACCTTCTCCCTTGGTTTCCACGGGGTCAAAGCGGCGTTTGAACTCTTTAATATTAGGTCCCCAACTGGGCTTACCCCAGGTTTCTAAAGAGAAAGAGAAATACATTACATTATTTTAGTAAATAGGATTTTTTTTCTGCTCTAAAGAATATGTATTCCCTTCAATAATTTTTATACTAATAGAAGGCAAAATCTCCACTTAAAAATATGATTACCTTCCAAAAGATAATTTGCGCATAGATGTAAATTGATGCTAGCATGAAGTCCTGATATGAGCTTATAGAAGACTCTTTTCTCCAGACACAAACCTATTCAGAAAAATATTGAAAAAGAAATCACACCTATTTAGATATCAGAAATATTGACTCAAGGAGGTTTAGTATGTAAGCTTATTTTTGATTGAAGAACATTATAATAAATCAAGGAATAATATAAAACTGATTAGATCAAGATTTTTTCAATAGAAGGCAAAATAAGATTTTGGCTTCAGAATGAAGTTAACTGAATATGATGAGAACTTCATGCTGAAAAAAGCAGAAAAGTTTGAGCAACCGGGAGTCAAAACACTATGGATAAAGTTGGCAACTTCCCATGTTACTCGGACGGCAACAGCACAGGTTTTCCCGTTTTTTAGGCTAAGAACTTACTAAAGTAAATGTAATTATAAAGTCACTGCTGGATTTTCCCCCCCTTCCTTATATGTGTTATTTGCTAGCAGAGAAATGAGGGTTTTATTAACCTTCTGCCCTGGAATTGTCTGATTTTTTTAACCATACGTTCTACTTGTAAGGAGCTGAAACTTGGAAAACAGAAATCCAGAAATTTCAACTAATTAAAAAAAAAAATACATGTTGACTATTTACCACTTGGGTGGAATCGTATCAGTGGAGTACAGGAATAGAACAGAACGTTATTTGATGGAGCCTTAAGCCACAGGGGCTTTTTTTGCTGAGAACTTAAGAGGTCAAGAGAGCCGGTCATCCTATCCTAACCCCTGCTCCCATTTTAAAAGATCTTCTCTAATAGGAGTAATGCACATTGTGAATGTATTTAATGCCACTAAACAATAAACTTAAAAATGATTAAGATGGTAAATTCTATGTTATATATACCTCACCACAATAAAAAAAGTTCTTTAGAAAAGTAATATTCTTTACAGGAAGTTTTTAAAATAAAAATGCAGAAAATTTTAAGAAGTCACTGGATACAGGGCCATTTGCTTCTCCCTCCTTCATCCAACAGGTTTTTAACACTTTCCCCATACAGGGAAATGGGCTTTAACAGTGGAAAGTAAAATAGTATCATTTATATGCTGGGGGAATTTTTTTTTAATGTAAGAGTATTTATGTGGTTTTGTGTCTATTAAAATTTTTTAGCAATTCACTCTCTTTCTGTCCTATCACAGATGATTCTGAAGCACATGGCCTCTAATTGGAAAAAAATAATTCTTTTGAGATCTCATTCCCTAATTGGGAATTCTTGCTAGAATATACAAATTGTCATGGATGGGGACCAAAAGAAATTAAATTTTATTTTGTAACTTCCTCCCTAAAAGTAGATGGCAATTTTGAATGTTTACGATAACAATGGATACAAACAATATATTTAATACATTAAGTAGTAACTTCTCTTCTACTAAAACTTTTCATCAAATCTATTATCAAGTAACAAAATACCAGATATGAAGTTCACTTTGTTTTCTTCCCGACCTCTCTCTCTAAGCGGTGCTTATGTCCAATAAAATGGATAAAGATTACAGAAGGGACAGTAAGCAAAGCAAAACTCATGAAAATCCATATGCCTACAAACCAGGACCAGGAAAACTGGGAGGCAGTTATAATTTGCAAAGCCCACAAAGCCCCTACACTGAAATGAGGCAGAGGATAAGTAAGGGGAGAGAAATAGAAATGTATTTCCACAAACTGTGAAAAACAGGTAACTTCAACCATATTAATAAAGAATGCACCAACTAAGTGCACCCAGACACACAACACACTTAGCAGGAAATTGCTGGAGAGCTTCTCCTGGCCTACATACAGTCTGTGCCAGGCTGCAGTGTATCTTTAATTACGGAGGTCTAGGCAAAAGCTTTCGCAATCTCACTCTGAAGTAACATCTGCAAAAGCTGACTTACCAAGGCAGAATCCACCAACTTCTAACAACATAGAGCAATTCAATTATACAACTTAGAAAATGGTTCTCTTCTTCCTCTTGATTTAATTTCATTAAAATTCATTTTCAGCACCTGAACTCTCAGAAAGGTGCTGCATTTACCGTAACAGTAACATTTGGCATTTGGACATGGATTTGTGGTTTCCAAAGGAACCTTTACAGACATTATCTACACTCACAGTGTAAATTAGTAGTAGGATTGCTATTGCTCCTCTCCACACTCCAGATGAGGAAACTGAATCTCAGGAAAGGTTGAGTCAGTTACCTATCAGGGAATGCTCTTTGGAACCAAGTATCAATATTCAGGTACTCCCAACAGTAAGACTGGAAGAATGGTTGATATAGTATACATAGAATCCAATATTGTTTCTAAATTTCATTCTCATTACTAACACTCAGAGTCTCTGACTACCTCTTCTAGCCTAAATGCTACTTTCCACAATTTGTATCTTTAGAGTAGAGCTTATTAAACAAAGCTAAACATCTTCTACATAAGCGATTTTCTCATATAATTCCTAACAGAATTTGCACATCAATAATGTTCACCTTAATAATGGCCAACGTATGCGCACAGTTCATTGCAAACAAAGAAATAGGCCAGGTGTGGTGGCTCACACCTGTTATCCCAGCACTTTGGGAGGCTGAGGTGGGCAGATCACTTGAGGCCTGGAGTTCAAACCAGCCTGGCCAACATGGCGACTCTACCGAAAATACAAAAATTAGCCAAGTGTGGTGCCAGGTGCCTGTAATCCCAGCTATTTGGGAAGCTGAGGCATGAGAATCACTTGAACCTGGGAGGCAGAGGTTGCAGTGAGCCGAGATGGTGCCACTGCACTCCAGCCTGGGTGACAGTGAGACTCTGACTCAAAAAAAAAAACAAGTAATATTCATAAGATAACATGACCAAATGACATGTATAAAATAGAATTCGTTTTACTCCGTAGTACTCCTAAAAGGTTATGGCTATGAAATATCAATTTTCCTATGTCATTCAACTTGCTTATCTGTTACTAATATATTTTAATTTTTAATTTCATAAACAAATGGCAATTTGGTAAGGTAAATTTTTAAAAGCATTATATATCCAATTATTAACCTAAGTTATTAAAATCCTACAACATTTCACCTTTGCATTAATAGCATTTGATATTTACAACACTGGAAGTACAAGAATGCAAAAGCATATAATACATCAGGATCTATATTGCTTTATCTTTTAATTAGACAAAGTTAGACTATATTAACACAGCAAACATGTTTTGAACCTTTTGAATTCATATTTATCTTCCATTAATTTTATATATAAAAAGTACTTCCTTGCAAAAGGAATGTCTCCACTTTTAAAGTATTTTGCATTACTCGTTACTAGAGAAGTAGCTTGAATGAACATTACATACAGAACAGAAATAAGATTAGGGAAACAGTTATGAAAACCTGATGACAGTATTTGGCCTGTGTATTTATATAAACCTGGTTTTTAGCTGACCACTATCTTCAAAATTTTCACATAATTTTATCCCGATATGTTAACCTAAAACACATTTTTTTCAAACACTGTGAAAATTAGTTGACTAGGTAATAAAATCCTAGACCTTACAAAAATATGCTAAATCAGTATTTTTTACAAAAAATCCAATAAATTTAGAACAGACTGTTTACCTTCTAGCCATGTGTAGAATGATTCTCCTGAAAGAGAAAGAGAGAAAAGTGGATTAAAATATTATATGGTCATTTATAAAGTAGAATAAATTAGGTTTATAAAATATTTCTGCAGGCTGCAGAGCATGGTGGCTCATGCCTGTAATACTAGCACTTTGGGAGGCCGAGGCGGGCGGATTACTTGAGGACAGAAGTTCAAGACCAGCCTGGCCAACATGGCGAAACCCCATCTCTACTAAAAATACAAAAAATTAGCCGAGTATGGTGGTGCAGGCCTGTAATCCCAGCTACTAGGGAGGCTGAGGCAGGAGAATTGCTTGGACCCAGGAGGCTAAGGTGCAGTGAGCCGAGATCATACCACTGCCCTCCAGCTTGGATGACAGAGTGAGACCCTGTCTCAAAAAAAAAAAAAAAAAAAAAATGACAGATTAAGTAATCTCTCTAAAATGTCTACTGCTTCAGGTAAAATAGAAAAACAGTCATATGGTTCTAGGAAATAAAGCCTACAAATAATTTAAGTAACTTTAAGTGAGTGTTTTAATAAATATTTTGACTATTACATTTTTTAAGAAAACATTTCAGTCAAAATATTATGAGCTGGGCACAGTGGCTTAGCTTGGACCTGTAGTTCCAGTTAACTCAGAAGGTTGAGGGGGAAGGATTGCTTGAGCCCAGGAGTTTGGATCCAACCTGGGCAACATAGCGAGATCCTGCCTCTTTAAAAAAAAAAAAAAGTATGTAAATCTTATTCATTGAAGGTGTAAATATCTGAAAACATGGAACAAACATTTTAACAATCTCAAATTTGCTTTTCATAACAGCCATAATGCTTTTTAAATATTCCAAAAAAACAGTGAATTATAATTAACACAAACATCAAACTATTGATTATTCCACTTTTCCTAATCCAATAAAACTAAGAATATTTCCTTTTCTTTTTTTTTTTTTTTTCGAGATGGAGTCTCGCTCTGTCACCCAGGCTAGAGTGCAGTGGTGCAATCTTGGCTCACTGCAACCTCCACCTCCCGGGTTCATGCCATTCTCCTGTCTCAGCCTCCTGAGTAGCTGGGATTACAGGCACCCGCCACCACGCCCGGCTAATTTTTTTGTATTTTTAGTAGAGATTGGGTTTCACGGTGTTAGCCAGGATGGTCTCGATCTGCTGACCTCGTGATCCGCCCGCCTCGGCCTCCCAAAGTGCTGGGATTACAGGCATGAGCCACCGCACCCGGCTGAATATTTCCTCAATTTTCTAAAACTAATAAGGTTTTAAGGGGCAGCTAAGAAAATCTCTTAATTTTTGATATAATTCTTCAGGAAAGTTAATACTAATATAACACAGAAGGGCTTGACTAATCTGTGTACTAAATGCTGAAGAACATTCCTGGGGTCGGGGAGATGCTGGTCAAGGGGTACAAAATTTCAGTTAAAGAAAAGGGGTAAGTTCAAGAGATTTATTGTAAAACATGGTAGCTGTAGTTAATTACAATGTACTGTATTCTTGAAAATTGTTGCGATTTAAAGTGCTTTCGCCAAAAAAATGGTATGTGAGCTAATTAGCTCAATATACCCATTCCACAATGTATACATATTTCAAAACATGTTAAACATGATAAAAATATATAATTTTTATTTGTCAACTTAAAAAAAAAAGAACTATTCCTGGCCCTATAACCTTCTTCAGAGTGGGGGAAAAAGAAAGAAAAGAGAGCAGTCAATAAGGATAAAAATTGTTAAAGCATTTCCTGAGTTACCTGTTTTTTTTTTTTTTTTTAAATTGAGAATGATAGAAATTACAGAAAAACCAAACACTCAGATGAGCTGAGTAAGGAGTCTAGGGATAAATTAGATGGTGGGGAATTACTTTGCTTACTGAGAGTCTTCATATTTTGCACAACAATGAAAACATCTAGCAAATTAATTCATTCAACATATAGTAAGGATCACTTATCATTATATCACTTGTGATTCAGAAAACCTCAGTGCCAACAGGAAAAGTCTAGTACCCAATGTACTAAAAAATATAACATATGGCCTCTATCAATCTAACTTAAACTACCACTATATGGTCTTACCTACCGCTAAAAAAGGTCTCTTTACTGTCTCCCCAAACATGCTTGACTTTCTCAACTCCCAGCTTCATGCTGTTTCCTCCAACATGTACTATCCAATTCTATGGATCTAAATCTGTCCCATTATTCAAAATTCACCTCCAATGCTACCTCCTCCAGTAAGCCTTCCCACATCGCTCCCGTGAGATACGATCTCTTTCTCCTCTAAGGAGCTATATCTCATCTACCGTTTGTACCAGGTATGGAGTATTTCTTTACCTCATTACCATTGTTTATGTACAGTGCTTATCTTTCCTACTATCCTATATATCCTCAGCTCCTAGAGGGAAAGCACCATGTTTTAAATATTTTCCTACCCTGGACAATGCCCATCAGTGCCCCTGAACACAGACAGGTAAACATTCAGTTTAAATAATTATTTCGGCTATTTTGGGGTATCTTTTAACCAGCATTCACTCAGTAATCAATTGTTTATAAATTGCTCTTCATCAAATTAAGTATTATATTGATACCTGAGGTTAGAAATTTCAAAGTCAATAAGAAAATAAAGAGGTCACAAGACAAATTATCTGGTAAAACTACCTTAATTCCTTCTCCCCACTTCCTCAGAACATATTCAAGTAAATTATATAATAACCAGAAAATGGGGAACTTGTAATATGAATTGATTTACAAACTAAGCATTTAGGAAAAATGATCTTTTATTTTTTAACATAGGATAACTTTATATATATAAAATAATCTCTTTTTTTTGGTCACTATTCATTAGTAGCTATTTTCTTAGAAAATAGGAATACTTTCTTTTGAATTACATAAAGGAAAAATCAAATTCTGATTCTTAAAATAATTTCCTCCACACTTGAAGCAAACACAAACATGAGTTTTGCTCACCATCATCTTCGCCTAAAAGAGAAAATAATAGAAAAAATTTTAGAAAATGTCTTACATAGCTCAGATGCCAATACTATTTTTTGAGATTAAAACTGTTAAACTATTAATTATATTACGAACCTTGGTCACTGAGTAGACATCCTGCAAATGAGTCCTCTTAATCAGAATATAGGCCAAAGAATATAATATTTGCACATTTTGGCCAGGCGCGGTGGCTCACGCCTGTAATCCCAGCACTTTGGGAGGCCGAGGCGGGTGGATCACCTGAGGTCAGAAGTTCGAGACCAGCCTGGCCAACATGTGAACCCGGTCTCTACTAAAAATACAAAAATTAGCCGGGCATGGTGGCATGCACCTGTAATCCCAGCTACTTGGGAGGCTGAGGCCGGAAAATCGCTTGAACCCAGGAGGTGGAGGTTTCAGTGAGCCAAGATCATGCCGTTGTGCTCCAGCCTGGGCAACAAGAGCAAAACTCTGTCTAAAATAAATAAATAAATAAAGAAGCCTGGGCATGGTGGCTCAGGCTTGTAATCCCAGCACTTTGGGAGGACCACAAGGTCAGGAGTTCAAGATCAGATTGGCCAAGATGGTGAAACCCCATCTCTACTAAAAATACAAAAAATTAGCCAAGGCGTGGACCCAGCTACTCGGGAGGCTGAGGCAGAGAACTGCTTGAACCCAGGAGGCAGAGGTTGTAATGAGCCAAGATCACACTACTGCACTCCAGCGTGGGTAACAGAGCGCGACTCTGTCTCAAGAAAAAAAAAAGATTTGCACATTTTAAAATACAATAAATAATAAAATATCAGAAAGCAACTAAAAATAGTCATTAAGACCACTATTTTCAATAATTAATTACTATATAAAGTTGCTCCTTTAATCATTATGTACACAATCCTCTCTGAACATTCCTGTTTCCATCCTGGAATATTTTTCTCTTTTAAATTACTGCTCCTCAGCAGAGATAGGCCTTAATGACAGTACATCCCAAACTGTAATCAGTGAAACCCTTGGGCAAGGTGCTGCTTCCGGGAGGCCTAGAGGTGGGGAAGAGGCCAGAGGCTGGGCTCTAGGGCTACACGACAGCTCTGCCTATCAGTTTTATAATGTGGGTTCTGAAGTGAGATTTCATTTTTGGACAAAAGTTCCTATTGCTCAAAACCTGTTAGAAAACAGTTGTATAAGCCTAGGAGTTATGACTCAGAAATGTGGAAGAAAGAGTTAAGAAGATTAAAGAACTATTAATCAACCAATTTCAATGGAGATAGCATGTATATAGCATCAGCAAGAGCTATTAATTACTTCATAGAGTACTCCTGTAACAGCTAGGAACCATTCTCTTTACCCAGTCTTGTCTTCTTTCATATTTCATTTTTCTTCTTGTCTCCTCTTCCCTTCCTCTTTTTCTATCTAGTAGTTTCCTTTTTCTCATCTTTCCAGCATAAAATCTTATGTGTCTGATATATCACTAACATGGAAGTGAAGTGTTTCTTAGGACTTGATGGTTTTCTTAAGTGAAAAATTGTATTTTCTGCTTTAAAAGTATTAAGTGGCTGTAGAAAAGGTCTGGAAGAACACCTTTCAAACTCTGTACTATGGAATAGAAGAGCTTTCCCTTTTCACTTTATATAACTATTATATTGCTTCCATTTTTACAAAATGTTGTGGACTTAAAACCTTTAAGTTGAAAATAGAAAAGTTGTGAAGCAACAGTAGTAAAAGAGACAAAGGATAAGAAGCCAGGCACATCTTTTTCAGGACAAACTTCCTTCTCCAGACAGTTTCAATGTGAATTTGGGGAAAACGAGTATTTGCCACATTGTGACAGAGTGAGCATGAAAAAGCAGTCTATGCAGTCAACCCTTCCAAGTCTATTTGGTTCTCAGAAAGGTCTAAAGATACAAATTTAGAACAGGAAATCAAATTTCTTAAAACACTCCCCGTCTAAAGGAAACACTGGAATGGAGGTCAGTTACAGAGTTGCTCCCAGGGTTTGGCTCCTCATTGAGAACAGAATGAGGATGTACCCCACTGAGGACAGTAAAGCTGTTCTATTGAAATAGAATGCCAGACACAGGTGTTAACTTAAAATGTTTCTAATAGCCACATTTTTAAAATTCAAAAGTATACACACACTACAACAAAAACATGTTACATGACACACAGGTTGTAGTAGTCTTACCACTTACCAAAACAATAAGGTTCTGTCGAACAGCAATATAGTTTTTACATCTAAATAAGCTAAGATTAAATAAAATTTAAAATTCAGTTTCACACTAGCCAAATTTCGTGTGTTCAACAGTCCCATGTGGAAACTGGTTACTTTATTGGACAGTACAGATATAGAGCACTGCTAAAGGTAGCCTACTTTCTCATTTTTCCTACTCAAAGTGTGGCACATGAGTCGGCACCTGAGGCAGTACCTGGGAGCATGTTAGACTGTTGGGCCTCACGCAAGATCTACAGAATCAGAACCTGCGTGTTACCAAGGCTCCTAGGTGATTTGTACGCACGCTGAAGTCTTAGAAGCAGTTACGAGACATTGGCTGTCAAACTTGGTTGCATACTGGAACCATCTGGAGAGTTTAAAAAAGACCCATGCCTGCTGTTCTCAGTCCAAGGATTCTGACTTAATTAGTATAGTGTAGGGCCTGAGCATCCAGATTTTTCAAGAAGTCCCCAGGAAATCTTTGATATATATTTCTTACTCACATATTTTAATTATTTTACATAAACTTCCTAGTTCAGGGTCTGGCACAGAGCAGGCACACAATAAATGACAGTAATTATGTAAAACAACATGCCTAGAAATCTCAAGACTTGACTATGAACTAATCTTATACTTTTTGTTCATCATTCAAATTAAACAAAATATAAAAATGAAAGCTTTTTCAATACAAAGTTTAGTTATAAAGACATTTTATTAACAATGAAAAGCGTGAAAATGTACATAGGAAAAACCTACCTCGGCTAGGTGCCAGAGGATTTAAAGGACGATAAACAGATCGAGGCCTGAAAAAGAAAGCATAATACCCGAACATAAAATGGTTTAACTTTTACAGTGTATAATTTTATTCCAGTAGAAACAAATACTCCTCTCCCCACCCTCTCTCTTTTTTTTTTTTTTTGAGACAAGAGTTTCACTTAGTCACCCAGGCTAGAGTGCGATGGCGTGATCTCTGCTCACTGTAACCTCCGCCTCCCGGGTTCAAGCGATTCTCCTGCCTCAGCCTCCCAAGTAGCTGGGATTACAGGCACCTGCCATCATGCCCAGCTAATTTTTTTGTATTTTTAGTAGAGATGGGGTTTCACCATGTTGGCCAGGCTGGTCTTGAACTCCTGACCTCAGGTGATCCACCCGCCTCGGCCTCCCTAAGTGCTGGGATTACAGGTGTGAGCCACAGCACCCGGCCTCTCCCCACCCTCTCTTTATCAGTCGTTCCTTCTTCCCCCACCCCCTCCAGTTACTTGAAACAGTTCTCTTCATAGATGCTGTTCCACACTCTCCATGCAGAGGTCCCTTTATAGCCAGTGTAACGCTCTGGGTTCAGCAACAGGTCTACATACTGAGCGGCTGGAGATCTCTCATCTGAACAAGAAACAATTCATAAAAACCATCCATATTTCACCATTTATCTAAGAGTTAACAGTACAAAGCAAATCGGACTACTCAAAGGTAAGAGAAATGCCATGCTTTTCAAGTAATCTCCAACTTAAATGGTACAGTGGCTAGTATACTTGTGACTACTTGATGCAGGACTTGTAATAACTTGGACAAATTCCTGAAGAGAAGAAAAACAACTCTTCCATTTCCTTTGGATATGCAGTGCTCTCTTAAGCAATACAACATTCCCTTCACCTTATCAGAGGCATGAATCATTTCTTAAGTTTTAACCACCCAGGACTGAAAAGACCAAACAGAATCATAACCTGCTTTAATATTTCATATGATTTATTCTCTAAGAATATACCTACCTAACCACGCACTTGGAAACATTTTGTAACATATATTGTATTAAAAATAGAGATTTCCCTGCAACTCTCTGCTTGGAGTTATGAAGTAAATGGCTCCATAACTTTGTGATCCAAATCTGATTCTTCATAAAGCTATACCATGCTCCAGTTTTTAAAAGTTATATATTACTGTTTTTACTGATGTTAACATACTGAAGTGGTTTTTTTGCTTTCAAACTAAAAGGACGTAGTAGGCATAACTTTCACAAACTTGTTGAAATATTTAAAACGAAATAGCCACTTTCCATATTGAAACCCAAATGAGTATTTACCTGATCTCCACTATTTGGACTTTTGTTTTTTGTTTTTTTTTGAGACGGAGTCTCACTGTGTCACCTAGGCTGGAGTGCAGTGGTGTAATCTCAGCTCACCACAACCTCTGCCTCCCGGATTCAAGTGATTCTCCTGCCTCAGCCTCCCTAGTAGCTGGGACTACAGGCGCCCGCCACCACATCTGGCTAATTTTTGTATTTTTACTAGAGACAGGGTTTCACTATGTTGGCCAGGCTGGTCTCGAACTCCTGACCTCGTGATCCACCTGCCTTGGCCTCCCAAAGTGCTGGGATTACAGGTGTGAGCCACCACTATGTCCGGCCCTATTTGGACATTTTAATTAAGATCTCTAAGGAATACAAAAAATTTTTAAAATCTTAATTATTGAACCTCACATTCTGAATAGAAATGGGAAACGTGATTTTCATAGCTAAAGAAAAATTACAATGACTAGGCCTCACACATATATGCTCATAATACATATAAGCTCAAGTGTTATATATGATGGCACAGATATATTCCTTTATTTATAGGCTTACTACCTTTTGTTGTCATTAGTTTAAAGAATAATACATAGGCATCTGGTTTAAAACAGGAGTCAAATATGGTCATTAAATGTCCCTCTTTCATTACCTGATAGTATATTTTCCTGTAAGTAAACAGTATTCCCTGGACAGTCAATGACCACAGATTGGGATTATCCATGATCACAGGGCAAAATAACATCCTGATCCATGCCTTCCAAGAATTACCTGGCACTTGTTGTTTCTGAGACAGAGTCTTGCTTTGTCGCCCAGGCTGGAGTGCAATGTGAGATCTCAGCTCACTGCAACCTCCGCCTCCCGGGTTCAAGCAATTATCCTGTCTCAGCCTCCTAAGTAGCTGAGATTACAGGCACTCACCACCATGCCCGGTTGATTTTTTGTATTTTTAGTAGAGATGGAGTTATCCCATCTTAGCCAGGCTGGTCTCAAACTCCTGACCTCAGGTGATCCACCCGCCTGGCACTTTCATGATGTAGGAAGAATACAAGGATAACTAACAATTTACTATATTAAATGGGTTGTATATAACTTAGACAATGGAAACATGATTTTGCAGACTATAGGAATACTGGCTCTATTTCTAGCTCTAAATTTGTAAAGATACTCCACTATAAAAAACAAGGCAAATAAAACAATTTACAGATGGATAGAAAAAACTGTCCAAGAACACAGATTGACTCAGGACTCAAAAACAGTAACTTTCAAAAATCTTAATTTAAAATAAAAATTCAAATTATGAAGTATAAGTGTGGCTTTTGATATGGGCACAGTGGTGCTTGCCTCTAGTCCCAGCTGCTTGGGAGGCTGAAGTGGAAGGATCACTTGAGCCCAGGAGTTGGAGGCTGCAGCGAACTATGATGGCACCACGTACTCCACCCTGAGCAACAGGCCTTTTTTTTCTTTAAAAAAAAAAAAAAAAAAAAAAAAGTATGGCTTTTAGTAAAGAAAAAAAAATCTTAAAACTCAGTATTTAGTTGTATACTTATTCTCCAAAGCTGCTCTTAAATAAATTTGTCTGCAAAATTGAATTATGTATAAGTTTCACAATTAAATATAACATTAATTTATGTTCTCTGATGCATATATACGTACATATTTCTAAATAATTTGTGTGTGTGTGTACATGTAGGACTACATGTGTATAGAATCCTCTACAAATGTGCAAATTGGACGAGTACCAACCGCTTCTCCCAACAAAACCAACCAAATAATAAAGAAGAAAAACCATGATTCAAATATTAAACCATGATGATTTAAAATATACTTTAAGGGAGCTAAAAAAAAATCACAAGAGGAAAATCAATTATATCAGGTTTTTCATTGTTCTTTTTTAAGAAATGTGGTCTTTCTTTGTTACGCAGGCTGGACTCGAACTCCTGAGCTCAAGCAAGCCTCCTGACTCAGCCTCCCAAGTAGCTGGGACTCCAGGTGCTCACCACAACACACAGCTCAATTATATCAGTTTATATAACTACTTAAGTAAAACTTAAATTTTTAAGATTCTTAATGTTTATTCCCTTACTTTAATCAATACTTGAAAAAAAAAATCTTGTAATACTTTCTCAAATCATGAAGAGTGGGTTTTGTTAACCTACACAAGGAGTTTGCAAACTACAGCTTGTGTTCCAAATCTGGCCTGCTGCTTATTTTTGTAAATAAAGTTTTCATGGAACACAGCCATGTTCATTTGCTTACATACTGCTTTCACACTATTATGGCAGAGACGAGTAACTGCAACAGAGACCCTATAGTCAGTCTATAAAGCCTAAAATAGTTATTATTAGTCCATTACTTAAAAACCTTACCAGCCTCTGCTCTATACTGACAAGAATTTCATAAGACATCCAGAGTGAGCAAATGGTGTGGCAGAAAGCAACTACAGGCCAAGTTCTCTACAAACACACTAGCTGGCAGTGCCCATCCTTATCCCTGGGCCATCTGTGACACTGATTTTCATTTGTTCCTCAACTGCAACTTGTCTCAGTTTGTACAGCTGCATCATTCATTCAGACAATTCTCTCTAAATTATCTGGCCCTCTACTATGACCTCCCCTACAAAAGTTTTATCTTCTTTCTGCCTCTACAAAGCAGCTTCATAATTCCTAACTCTGGGAATTCATGCAGTTGAACTAGTATTATTTCCTCCTCTTCAAGTATACTTTTTTTTTTCTTTTTTTTTTTTGCAATGAGTCTCACTCTGTTGCGCAGGCTGGAGTGCAATGGCATGGTCTCGGCTCACTGCAACCTCTGCCTCTTGGATTCAAGCAATTCTCCCGCCTCAGCCTCTCATGTGGCTGGGACTACAGACATGTACCACCACGCCTGGCTAGTTTTTGTATTTTTAGTAGAGGCAGGGTTTCGCCATGTTGGCCAAGCTGGTCTCAAACTCCTAACTTCAGGTGATTCACCCGCCTTAGCCTCCCAAAGTGCTGGGATTACAGGCATAGGCCACTGTGCCCGGCCTCAAGTATACGATTTTTTCCAACTGAATTTCCTTGTCACTGTCCTAATTTAATAGAGTTATGAGGTCATACCACATTTTCTAGGATGTTAAACTTTCTTCCCTACTTCCTAACTCATATATCTCTTAAACATTAATGATAGCATATAGGACAACTTAGTGTGCAAGCTCTTTGCTATGGTCACAGATAAAACAATACTGTATTATAGACTCAGGATTCAGCTTAAAGCCCCTCCATCACCAACCCTACCCCAAACTGCTACTAACTCACTGTTAAAACATCATTTACAGTCAAGGAGAAGATACAGTTTATAAAGTGCTCAAGAAATTTTGATACACAACCAGATTTAGAAACTACTGTTTTAAACATTAAATTTATTAATGAACATATTTTAAGGGAAAAAATAAAACTAGGAATCTAGCCGGGCGCGGTGGCTCAAGCCTGTAATCCCAGCACTTTGGGAGGCCGAGACGGGCGGATCACGAGGTCAGGAGATCGAGACCATCCTGGCGAACACAGTGAAACCCCGTCTCTACTAAAAACTACAAAAAAAAAAAAAACTAGCCGGGCGAGGTGGCGGGCGCCTGTGGTCCCAGCTACTCGGGAGGCTGAGGCAGGAGAATGGCGTGAACCCGGGAGGCGGAGCTTGCAGTGAGCTGAGATCCGGCCACTGCACTCCAGCCTGGGCAACAGAGCGAGACTCCGTCTCAAAAAAAAAAACAAACTAGAAATCTATCATGCTATTTAGGCTTTTTATGAAACAACTAGTTCATTCAGCAAGTATTTACTAAGCATCTACCACGTCCAGGCACTGTTCTAGGTACTAGGGATACATCAGTGAACCAAAAACAAAGCCCTTGCCCTCAAGTAGCTCACAATCTAGCTGGGGAAGACTGACAAGAAATCGATACACTCAATAATACACCATATACTGTCAGGCAGTTGTTAGTGCTTGGGCAGGGTGGGGGCCAGCAGTGCAAAGGGACAGGGAGTGATAGTGGCTACTATCTTACAGAGTGAGATGAGAGCAGGTTGTTCTGATAAAGTGACATTTGAGGAGAAACATGAACCACAAAGAAGAAGCAAGCCATGATAAACATAGTAACAACAACAACAAAAAGAGTGGTAGGAAAAGCAGTTTACCTTAAAGGATACTAAATTACTAAATTATTTTAAAAACTATGATTTGATCTATAGGGATCATCTTCTATTCAAACGAAGTCATTATCAACAACAAAACAGCAGGAAATGGGGTATATGAATATATTCCCCAGTAAACTGGGTAAATATTCTTTGTATTTTTGTTTTTGTTTTAATCCACTGAATTTGGGAAACAGCAATAACTAAACAATGATTATAAAGCTACCCTGACAGTAATTTTAAAAACTACTACAGGCCAGGCATGGTGGCTGACGCCTGTAATCCCAGCACTGTGGGAGGCCAAGGCAGGTGGATCACCTGAGGGTAGGAGTTCGAGACCAGCCTGGCCAACATGGCGAAACCCTGTCTCTACTAAAAATAAAAAAAATTACCTGGGCATGGTGGTGCATGCCTGTAATCCCAGCCACTAGGGAGGCTGAGGCAGGAGAATTGCTTGAACCTAGGAGGCAGAGGTTGCAGTGAGCCAAGATTGTGCCATTGCACTCCAGCCTGGGCAACAGAGTGAGACTCCGTCTCAAAACAAAACAAAACAAAACAAAACTGCATATAAACCATTGGAATATATATGAATATTACAACTCAGAAGAATCATGGTAAACCAATTAGTAGGTACCATGGTTTTATAATAATATAAAAATATTGATTTAAAATATAATCTTGAAAATCTTAAGGGGATGATTTCATATAAATTCTTAAGAAACATCTCTTACTTTTTACAATTTAAGAAACTAATATTTTAAAAAACAGTTAACACGGCTGGGTGCGGTGGCTCACGCCTGTAATCCCAGCACTTTGGGAGGCCAAGGTGGGTGGATCACGAGGTCAGGAGATCGAGACCATCCTGGCTAACACGGTGAAACCCCATCTCTACTAAAAATACAAAAATTTAGCCAGGCGTGGTCGTGGGTGCCTGTAGTCCCAGATACTCGGGAGGCTGAGGCAGGAGAATGGCATGAACCTGGGAGGCGGAGCTTGCAGTGAGCCGACATTGTGCCACTGCACTCCAGCCTAGGCGACAGAGCGAGACTCTGTCTCAAAAAAAAAAAAAAGTTAACACTGTTTATACTGATGGCAGGTAATCTACATATCAATTATTTATAGCAGGTACTTCCTGCAATTAAGTATTTTTATTAATTACCAATTTACCATGAGTAATATGTATTCACACAAATTATTAATCTGAAAACCTATTAAATAAGCACTATTTATACTTTCATCAAAGAATAGGTAAACGGACAATTTAGAAATAAATGACGATGAGTGTTAAGCACTCAAATATAACTGTAATGACAAACAGAGCAAATGCAAGAGTAAGGAGAAGTTCAATGGCTTGCTTTGAAAAAACCTTTACCAATTCTATACATCATGGAGAGGATACTTCATTAATTACCCCTTGGTATAACCTTACTCAGATTCCTTTAAAATTTCCTTACTGAAACCACATAAACCAAGATAACATTCCATCTCCCACCATTATTCTCAGTTTACCATACTACAATAGAAGCTCACTCTAACTTACTCCGCTACAGGCTGGATTGATAGCACAATTGTACCTGTGAATCTTTTTTAAAACTTTAGGAAGCAGATCACTCTAGATGCCTGAAGAGTTCCAAAGAACTATTTCCAACTATGCATACTTAATCCCCAAATTATTTTCCACTATGAAAAATATTACAATACCAAGGAAAAAGGTGAAGAGAAACCAAATGAATGATTTACGCCTACTTAGCACAATTCTTTGGGAATATTATCCTATAGATAAACATTTTGAGTCACTGCAATTACCTTCTGTTAAGAGAAGTGGTAGTTACTCTGGTGGAGAGTGTCCAGTCTTTCTACCATTCCAGGGGACTCTTGGAAAAAGGGCTGTGGAGAAGTCGAATTAAAGTCCTCTCCAGCATCAGAAAGCATCTTTATATGAGTTTGTTAAGACCTCTAGCAAATTCCAGTGTAAATATTTTTACAAAATGTTCACAGACCTATAACTAAGTGGCTTCAATTGAAGGTCCGTGGCAGATGGGGTATCATAATGGAAAGAATACAGGTTTTGGATTCGGATATGGGATCAAATCCTGCCTCAGCCTCTTGCTATTGTGTGATCTTGGGCAAGCTATTTAGTCTTTTTCAGACTCAGGTTTCTCAGATATGAAATTAATACACACTAATGAAGGTAGCTGCAGAGACCAGAAATAATGTATTTAAGGCACTTAACACAAGGCCTGGAACACAGGCTCTCATTAAATGCCAGTATGAATAAGAAGGTCTACCTAGCAAAATCCAGTATTGAAGCTATAATTCAGTTTATATTTTCATTGATTAAAAATGTCTCATAAAAAGGTTAAAGTTAAAATAATGTAATGATAATAGTTTATTGTATTACCATCAAGTTCACAAAAGTGATCCCGTGAATCATCATATCTTGCCCAGTCAATGAAAGCTTCTTTGCTTTGATTACTATGGGAAGAAGGAATAAAAAAGAAAAATTATTAAATTTGGAGCTGCAACTTTTAACACTGTATTCTAGTATCATTAAAATAGATAATCTGAGGTCAGTTGAAGATTAGATGATGCCACAATTCTGTTATTAGTGATTACATGAAGGAATGATAAAAAACAAGTTATATGAAAATATATATATTAATTTCCTTGAGTAATTTATATTTCTTAACTACACTGAATTATTAGGACTAGTCAATAATAATTATTTTAACTAGAAATTAATTTATAAATACATATAACATGTAAATACAAAACTCAAGCTAAACTTTTCAATTAACTTAGAAATTATAATGTTAGTTGTATTTTTTCCTAAAGTAATTAAATTTACTTTCAGAATTCTTTTAATTGAAATTGCTTCTATACTTACAAGATCTAAAATACCAGTAACTGTATTTCTATAATCTCCCATCCAATGTGGTATTCACTGGTTACAACAATGCCACTTTCATCATGGTGTATCATTCATTTCACAGCCTACTTAACATTTAACAAAATCTATGATCAAGATTTCTAACTGGAAGAACTGATAAGGAACAACTTCACTGAAAACAACTTTGATCTACATTAACAAACCTATATTCAGGCCTTCTCTGTATTGAATACTCACAATGGTAGGATCTATCAGAGAGGCATCATTTTGCTACCCTCTTTATTCATAACACAAAAGGAAAAAACAAGGTACAAAAAACTATATAAATCAGGTATATAAAGGTAAAAATCAGGTAATTCCTAAATGTGGTACTGTCATAATCAAGAATTTGTTTTGAGAAGCCGCTACAAAGAAGTGTATAAGCTTGGCTGTACCACATCAACTTTATCAATATAGTTTTCCAGTTCAACTTACTGTGGAATTTTTTTCCCTATGGGAGTATATAATAAAAATTAACAAAAATATTGTATCATAGTTGACTCAATTGAAATACATGATGCCATAAAAAATAATGCCTAATTATAGCTAAAATGATGTAACTAAACTTGTGTTTAATAAGATAGATCTTATGTTGAAAATAGTGAAGAACAAAGCAATAGTGATATAAATTCCTATTTTCTTGTTAACGATATGACTGACTTTCAGGAACTTTCTTCTTTGAGCATCCTCATTTGAGGAGGCTTTGCTGATTCTTTCACCTAACCCCTGCCTAAAACCACAATAAAGCCATGCCTAAGCCAGAAAAAACATTGACTGTGCATCCAATGCTAATAAAGCTGACTCAGTTTGATTTATAAATGAATTAGAAGGGACCTTAGAGGTTATCTAGTTGAACTTTTCCAAAAGTCAGTTTGAAGATGGATGCAACACTATTCACATGAGAATTCTCAGGCTTATCCTTTCAAGATAGTGTCCTGAGGTTAAAGTAGTAGTCTTCAAACTGGGAAATGAGGAGCACAAAAGATGGAATAGGGAATGAGAAACTTTCTGGGAGTGATTTTTTTTTTTTTTTTTTTTTTTTTTTGAGACAGGGTCTTACTGCACCCAGGCTGGAGTGCAGTGACATCATAACTCAATGTAGCCTTGACCTTCTGGGATCAAGTGATCCTCCTACCTTCAGCCTCCCAAGTAGCTCAAACTACAGACATATGCCAACACATCCAGCTAATTTATTTATTTATTTATTTGTACAGACAGGGTCTCGCTATGTTGCCCAGGCTGGTCTCAAATTCCTGGGCTCAAGTGATCTGCTTGTCTTGGCCTCCCAAAGTTCTGGGATTACAGGCGTGAGTCACCGTGCCCAGTCAATTTATCTTTTATTTATTTATTTATTTACTTATTTATTTGAGACACAGTTTTGCTCTGTGACCCAGGCTGGAGTGTAGTGGCATGATCTTGGCTCACTGCAATCTCCACCTCCTGGGATCAAGTGATTCTCCTGCCTCACTGTCCTAGGTAGCTGGGATTACAGGTGTCCGCCACTATGCCTGGCTAATTTTTTTATTTTTAGTAGTATTTAAGTAGTATTTTCACCATGTTGGCCAGGTTGGTCTCAAACTCCTGGCCTCACGTGATCCCCTGCCTCGGCCTCCCAAAGTGCTGGAATTACAGGCATGAGCCACCAAACCTGGCCTATGGTATCTTAATTGTGATGATGTTATATGGGTGGACACATGTCAAAACATCAAACTGTATGCTTTATATGCTGTGTGTCATATTTCATTATACCTCAAAGTAAAGCTGTTTAAAAAATCATAGTACCAGTCGCTGGAGAAGTTATAGAAAAAATAACTGATACACTGCTAGTAGCAATACAATCTGGTAGCAATTTTAGAAAACAATTTGGCAGTACCTAATCTCATTCCTAGGTGTATTCTCCATAAAAATGTACATATGTGTGCACCAAATTTATTTTTTATTTTTTTACATATAGTATCTCACTCTGTCACTCAGGCTGGGGAGTACAGTGGCACAATCATAGCTCATTGCAGTCTCAAACTCATGACCTCAAGTGATCTTCCTGCCTCAGCCTCTCATATATGGGACTATAGGCCCACGCCACTGCACCTGGCTATTTTTTTTTTTTTAATTTTTTGTAGAGACAGGATCTCACTTGTTGCCCAGGCTGATCTTGAACTCCTGGCTTCACATAATCCTCCTGCCTTGGCCTCCCAAAGTACTGAGATTACAGGCATGAGTCACCATGTCCAACTGTATCCACCAAAATATTTTTGAAATGGCCCCAAAGTATAAGCTATCGAGAGCAGAATGGAGACATGGCACATTCTTACTATAGAATATTATGTGCCGATAAAAAAGAATTAAACATTGCTATGTCCAAAAACATGAACGAATCTCAGACACATGTTAACAAAAAGAAGCCAGGTACAAAAGAATATATTCTATATCATTCTATTTATAAACAGTTAAAACCAATCTCTGTCGGTATCTCAAAATCATGGTTAACTTTGGAAGGTGATAATGACTAGGAAAAGCCCACATGGTAATCCGGGCAGCAAGTGTACTGCTCTGGATGGTGGCTATAGAGTTGGGTTCACTTTGTAAAGTTAAATTGACCTTTACACTTAATAATTTTCTACTCTACTGCATGTGTATTATACTTAAAAAATTTAAGTTTCAAAAATTTCAGTTCAACAACAAAAAACTACAAGCAAAATTAAAAGACAAGTCCTAACAACCAATAGAGCCAACAAAGAATTATCACATTATATAAAGAATGCTTACAAATCAGTAATAATTTAAAAATCCAACCCAATAGAGAAAAAAATGACAAAGAATATAAACTGGCAATTTACCCCAAAATTTTGTAATGACTTAAGCCTAATCCCTAGATCATTCCTCTATTTACACTCTCTCCTTGGTGACCTCACTCAGGTTATGGCTGCTAAATACCATCTATTCGTTGACTGACTTCCAGACCTCTCCCCTAATTCAGACTTGTATACCCAACTGCCTACCTGAAATCTCCAAGGGGATGTCTCACAGGCAGCTCAAACTTAACAAATCCAAACTTGACTATAACTTTATATCAGACTTCTTCCTCCTGCCTGTCTCCACAGGTCACTAAATGGCAACTCCATTTTTATAATTCCAAATCTTGTAGTCATCCAAAAGCTCGTATCTTCTCAATATCACATATCTAATACTGCAGCAAATCCTGTCAGCTTTATCTTCAAAATACATCCAGAACCTGACCGCTTCTCATCATTTCCACTGCTATCACCCTGGTCTAAATCACCATTATATCTCATTTGGATTACTACAATAATCACGTAATAAGGTTTCTGCAACGTATCAGGCTCCCTCAACATGTGCTCTTAACTCCTCTGTTCAAAACCTCCCAGTGACTTTTATTCTACCCACTCTAAAAGCAATACTCATTATAATTGCTTTTGAGGCTCTACAAGATCTCTACCCACCCCACCTCCTGCCCCATCCCCAGCATCTTTTGACCTTGTCTTCTTCTACTTTGCCCTTGATCACTGTGCTCCAGTGACATTGTTTTACTGTGTTTAGGTCTAGGCATGATCCTGCCATGGGGGTTTTCAACTAACATTTATATATACCTGGAATGCTCATACCCCAGCCAACCACTGTATGACTCATGCTTTCACCTTCTTCAGCAATTTGTTCAAGTGTCGTATTATCACTTAGGTCTTCTCTGACCACCCAATTTAAAACAGTGCCACTCACTCCCAGCCCTCTTTGTTCTTCCCTGCCTGTCTTCCCTAATATTCATAATCATTTTACTTACTTATTTCTCATATATTTTACTTGTTTATCATGTTATTTCCTCTGACAAGGATCAAGCTACACGAGGGCGGAAATTTTATCAGTTGCATTACTGTATTCCTGGTACCCTAGAACAGCGCTTGGCACATTGTAGACATTCATTTGTTGAATGAAGAAGAAACTCAAATGTCCAATAAATAAAAAATGCTCAAATCTACTATAATTACGAAGTATAAATTAAACAAAAATGAGGTGCTATTTCACGCTCATCAAACATTACTTTTGGTAAGGATGTAGAGAATGATACAAGCTGTCAGCACTGGAGTCAGTAAACATTCACACCAAGTACTACGGAATGTCATCAGGCAATATTAAGAATGGGTACAAAAAAGACAATCCTAAGATTCAACAATTTTACTTCTAATGTGAAAAAAAATTCAGGAATGCTCAAGGTGGCATGTTTGTAAAAGTAAATAATTGGAAATAGCTAAACAACTGTCAATAGGAGAATAGCTAAGTAAAATGTGGCATATTTATATGATGAAAATCATCAGTTAAAAGAATAAATGTGTTTCAACATGGACAAATCTAGAAAGCAAAATGTATAATGAAAAAAATTGCAGAATGTTAAATATAGGATATCATTTATATAAAGGAAAAATAAAACCATATACACAAAATAAAACTATCTTATGTATACATATAAATATATGATAAAAACAAAAATGGACCGGATATACACCACCAAATTCATGATAGTAGTTACCTCTACTGGATTAGGGAATACAGCATAAGGGATTTCTTGTTCCTTAAAACATATGGCAAAAAATGTTAATATTTATTTACTTGGAATGGAGGATTATTTATTTGAAATGGAGGATATATATGTAGGTGTTTATTATCTTTTATTTTCCTACATTAAATTTTGTTTTCAATAAATAAAATTGCTAATTTATACTGAGTCATTAGCAATTAGAGTACATAAATACAAATCTTTTTTTTTTTTGAGACGGAGTCTTGCTCTTGTTACCCAGGCTAGAGTGCAGTGGTGCAATCTCAGCTCACTGCAACCTCCGCCTCCCCAGATTCAAGCAATTCTCCTGCCTCAGCCTCCCAGGTAGCTGAGATTACAGGCACCTGCCACCATGCCCGGCTAATTTTTGTATTTTTAGTACAGACAGGGTTTCACCATGTTGGCCAGGCTAGTCTTAAACTCCTGACCTCAGGTGACCTGCCCACTTCAGCCTCCCAAAGTGCTGGGATTACAGGCGTGAGCCACCGTACCCATCTCATAAATACAGATCTAATCAAATGGGAATGTAAAGGAATTTCTGCAATATCCCATTCCCAACTACTGATTATGTCTAGTCATTTTACACTGCACAATTTGAGGCCACTTATATATTATTTATGCTGGTTTCTATTTAGAACAAATAAAGAAAAGTTAACAGAAAAAATCTATGAAATTTAATAGTTAGGCTAATAACTTTTATCATTCAAAAGGTAACATGCAGACTGAATTACTATTTATAAAAGACTTAGGAGCTCAAGCCTCTTCTTCCATAGTAATCGGGAAAAATGGATCCATAAACCCTGTTAGCTGAACAATCTTGTAAATTTCTACTTTTTAAAAGATTTACTATGGATGGTACATTCTAGAAATTTAGGGATAAATCAGCCAAGAAGAGGCAAAGCTATTATGAAATTTAGGATAAAGAAAAACTTTTTCTTCCTTTTAAAAATATATTAGTTAAAACTTTAACGGGTACAAAAATTTTTTACCAAAATCATAAAAAACAATTGATTCTTGATATCAATAAGAGAATATTTTCTTAATACTACCAAAATAAAACTTGCCTTAATGTGCTGTTAATTGCTCCCAGTTTATTAGCTTGCTCACAATCTTCTAATTCTTTGGTATTGTTTGCCATTTTCAAGTACTGCAAAGAAGTTCATAAGTTTAGTAATAATTATTACCTTATTCTTTATTTTAGTTTCTATTGGCAGAATAATCAATCTGTCAACAATGATATACACTAAATATAGATACATTCCATTATAAAAATCTGTATCATATGTAAGAAATACAAATGAAAATGAGGCAGAAATTTCCACCACCTAAATATTATTTCCATCAACAATATATTAAAATTTAACAATTAGGCTGGGCGTGGTGGTTCACATCTGTAATCAGCACTTTGGGAGGCCGAGGCGGGCGGATCACTCGAGGTCAGGAGTTGAAGACCAGCCTGGTCAACATGGTAAAACCCCGTCTCTACTAAAAATACAAAAATTATCCAGGTGTGGTGTCACACGCCTGTAATCCCAGCTACTCAGGACAGGCTGAGGCAGGAGAATTGCTAGAACCTGGGAGATGGAAGTTGAAGTGAGCTGAGGTCACACCACTGCACTCCAGCCTGCATGACAGAGCAAGACTCTGTCTCAAAAAAACAAAAAAAAATTTAAAAATAAAAGTTAACAATCAGCACTGATGTGTTGGTGATGATGTCAACTGAAAAAACAACCCTCTTGGGAAGTAAATTTGACCATATATGTGTGTGTGTGTGTGTGTGCATGTATACATACATATATGTATACATATATACATATATATGGTCAAATTTAGTTCCCAAGAGGGTTTTTATATAAAAGTTATATATATAAACACACATATATATCTACATATATATACACACACATACATGTTTGCAAAATGCTTAAACCTTTGAACTTGCACTCCCCACTAGTGAGACCATATCCCAAGGCAACCATTCTTTTAAAAAGGTACAACTGCCTTGGAAAATTATTTGGTATTATTTGTAATGTTGAGATAGGCACACCTTGTGGTTCAGCAATCCTGCCTTTACATGTACACCTAGAGAAACTCTTACATGTGTGCACGAGACAAAGGACAAAAATGCTAATGCATTACTGTTTGAAATAGCCAAAAACTGGGAACAACTGAAATGTCCATCACTAGAGGAATGGCTAATATGTGTTATAGTCATACAACTGACTACAGCTATTAAGATGATGAACAAAATCCACATATACCAACAGAGAAAATTTCAAAAGCATGAGTAAAAACACAAACTGAAAAAAAGTGTTTGTAACCTAAAGAAATACAAAAATACTTAAATAAACAAATTTACACACAATAAATTACATATCACTTGTGAATACACATGCAATAAAAGTGTAAAATATATTACTTGTAGATACACCTGCAATAGGAATATGAAATCACAGAAGGATACTTCAGAAAAATGGTTAGTTCTGGGGAGGGAGGAAGTAGAATGAACTGGGAAAGAGCTGAGGGGGACAACTGCTTTTATATGGTTTTATTTATTTCAGATCCGAAGCAAAAACAAATACAATAAAGTAAAAACAAAAGATTACACAGGAGAAAGAGCAAGAAGAAAATGCAAAGGAGGCACAAGGAGGAGACAGAGAGGATATGATGATCTTTACTATGTATGTGCAGTAGTGAAAAACAGGAAATAAACCGTTACCTAAAAACATATAAATGGCAAAATAAACTATAATACTCTCCTAAGAGGACAAGAACAATCATTAAAAATGAATATCTTAATACCATCTGAAAGTACTCTGCTCAAAATATCTTGATAATTATTTACTCAATATAATTTTGAACCTGCCAGGATGACTAGTTGAAACAGAAGACTAAAAATAGCTATGTGATAAAACACCCGCTGACTAGGGGATCTGACACTATAGTTACATTTAATAGTTGTTCCAGAGATTCCAAAAACAGTACTGAAGTAATTTCAAAAGAATCTAGGAATGTACAACCTATCTGCTTGATGCAAGAGTTAGGGATTTGGAATTCTGAGGCAAAATGTCTCCATTCCCCACTAACCATAATATGGTTCTTTATTACAGCCACTGTCAGTCAGCAAATGGTAAGTTTCACAATGTAAAGCAGAAACACTCAAGGAAGAGGAGGGACTTACCTTATTAGAATGCCCAGCTTTTATTCCAACCGGAATTTTACTCTTAAAAAACAAGAAAAACAAAAATTAAAAAGTGATCTTTATTGTTTTTGGAATTTCTTCACAAATTGTCAATGCATTGCTCTAATTCAAGTATTTTATTCTATGAGGGGCAAATATACACTTGCTCAAATTCTGTTTTCACACTCTCTCATAAGGTAAAAGTGTTATCCCAATATACAGACTTATAAATCAAAGTATAGAAAACTGAATGACATACACAAAGTCAGAAAGCTAAAAGCAGCTCTAATAACTCTAACTGCAGTATTTTTTACAGTTTATTTAATTTAGGTTAAAAACACTGATAACCACTTCTTCCACAAACTTTGTTACCATAGAAAAGAAAGTTTTAAAAGTTCAAAATTATTTGCAATGTATTATATGCAATTTTAACTTCTGCTCTAATAAAGTGTAGGCCATTTTGGATTACTAGAAGGCTTTTTTTGGCCCACATGATTAACCTAGAGTTTACCAATCTAATCTAGGGTTTACCAATGGGAGAAATGTGTGTAGCTGGAACATTCTTTTTCACAAGGCCAATAATTAGCATTAGGCTTTAATAAATGTATCTGAATTAATACAACTGGTTTATCAAACAGAACTTTAAACAAAATACTTAATACATATTTTGTTCTTAAAGGAAATTGAATATTATAAATTTTTAAAGAATATTCCCTTTAGGAAGGACATTGGTGCAGATTTTTAAGGACAACAAACTAGACTGATTAGGTAAGAAAAGCAGAAAGTGAAAGGAAAACAAGGCTTCAGCTAATTACTGTTGAAGGAGACGAATATAATTAATTATGTTAGATAACAAAAATCAAAGTCTAAAATGTAGCATTCTCTTGGTATTAAGTATAGGTTTTTAAAAAAATGTAAATGTAACAAGGCCAAGTGAAAATCTAATTCCAAGCCTGAAATTTCCCCAATTAAATCACTATAAATTTGAAATATAGGGTCTAGTAGTTTATTTTTGTTTTTTTCTATGAAACAAGATGCTGATTCAATAAAGCATGAAACAAAAGACAACTGCAGATCCAATCCTAGAACAGGCCTCTGATTTTCCTTCCATTTTAGAATAAGACTATATTTCCACATTCGATCACCAGCGTCACTGGATACAAGTGTCTTCAAACCCATTTCGGTGTCAAGTATAGAATCTTCAATAATCTGGTTCTAAAGGAGAAAGCTGAGAGCATGTGAATTTGCTGACATGTCCAAATCCATTGACATTAGCCTGAAATAAAACAGAGGCTATGCATTTCTAAAAGTCCAAGAGAAAATTGGCTTTGCCCTGTTGTTTTATTTATTATACCTCTGGACAGGGCTCCACATGACAGTCTTTTATTGAACAGTGGCCATCTTCTGCCCAGAAAGGACAAGGTCGCTTCAGATTAACCTTGAAAGAAAGAATAAATTAAAGTTAGTAAACTGATATTATAGTTATGGGATGTTCTCAAAGTGTCACTGTGTTGGACACCGGTGACATGGTGGTGAATAAGAAGGAATACTTCCTATCCTAGTGGGACCTATATGGTTCAGAATTTAAAATGACTGCAATGAGCTAGACCATGCCATTGCACTCTAGCCTGGGTGACAGAGAAAGCATTTAGAACTACTTTAATGTCTTCCAGCCTCCTGATCTTATTAATGACAGTTCTCTCATGCACCCATTTATTCAACGAATGAGAACTGAGCATCCACTATGTGTCAGGCACTGGTTAGGCTCTGGGTGAAAAAAATGGACAGAAAAATAACTCCCCTCTCCCTCCGGAACTTAAAAATCTATTGAAGGAAACAAGTTAAATATTTGTACGTTTCATACAAGTTGTAGTCAGTGCTACAAAGAAAATCCAGAGAATTGTAATAGTGGGGCTGGCAGATGGAGGCCTCTGAGGTGGTAATATTTTACGATGGAAGAAGCATGCATTTGGATAAGGCAATAAAAAGCCTGGACAGTTATGTGAACTAAAAATCACCAGTTGAGCTGATGTTTACCATAGAAGGGGGAGGGTGGTAGAGAATGAGGATGGAGGTAAACAAGGGACACATCATGCAGGACATTTTAACCATGGTAAAAACTCTGGATTTTCCTATTCTACACATTACAGGAAGACAGTAATTCAATAGGACTTGCGGATTGCCCATGCCAAAATCTAGGTTTTATTCTCTTTCCTCCCTTTTCTTGTACCCCATCAAACAATTCATTTGCCATTTTTCACCACCTACCTCTTGCCTACACTATTGCAATAGTCTCCGTGCTTCTACTTCTATTTCCATATAGCAACTACAGTTATCTATTTAAAACAAATCAGATCACATCAATCCCTCCTCAAAACCTTCCTGTGGCTTCCATTACCCTTAGAGTTTATAAACTCTGCAGCAAGCTCCACAAGGCCCTCCATAACCTGGCCTCTGGCCTACCTCTCGGACCTCTATTATGCTCCTCTGGCCACGCTGGCCTTGCTGGGAACACACCAGGCTCCCTATATCTCAAGGTCTTTATTATTTTTATTTTTTGAGACAGAGTCTTGCTCTGTCACCCAGGCTGGAGTGCAATGGTGTGATCTCGGCTCACTGCAACCTCTGCCTCTTGGGTTCAAGAAATTCTCCTGCCTCAGCCTCCCAAGTAGCTGGAATTACAGGCGCCCACCACTGCGCCTGGCTAATTTTTGTATTTTTAGTAGAGACAGGGTTTCACCACATTGGCCAGGCTGGTTTCGAACTCCCGACCTCAGGTGATCTGCCCGCCTTGGCCTCCCAAAGTGCTGGGATTACAGGTGTGAGCCACTGTGCCTGGCCGGTCTTTTATCTTTTTTTTTTTCTTTTTTGAGACAGTGTCTTGCTCTGTCACTTAGGCTGGAGTGCAGTGGCACAAACCTGGCTCACTGCAGCCTCAAACTCCTGGGCTCAAGCGATCTTCGTACCTCAACCTTCCAAGCAGCTGGGACCACAGATGTATCACCATGCCTGGCTAATTTTTTTTTTTTTTTTTTTAAAGTAGAGCCGAGGTATCACTATGTTTCCCAGGTTGGGCTAGAATTCCTGGGCTCAAGCCATCCACCCACTTCAGACTCCCAAAGTGTTGAGATTATAGGTGTGAGCCACAATGCCTGGCCTCAAGGTCTTTATATTTGCTGTCCTCTCTGCCTGTATTATTGTTCCTCCAGATCTTACGACGGCTCACTCTTTCACCTCATTCAAGTCTCTCTCACATGTCACACCTCAGCAGAGAGACCATTCCTGGCCAGGCTTGCTGAAGTAGTGCTCAGTATGCAACCTCTATCCCAACGTACTGTTTTACATTCTTTTATGGCACTTATCACTACCTGAATGTTATCTGCTTATTTATTGTCTGCACCTCCTACCATCATAAGGATCAGAATTTTGCATTATCTTATCCTTAGTGCTTAGAACAGTGGCATAACACACAGTAGACACCTAATTAATATGGTTAAGTAAACAGTATCTATATTACAGAGAAGAAGGCAAAAATAGGTAGAGATTGGCAACATAGAGGAGAGGGTGATCAACTCTGACTTTTGGTAATATATAACATAGGTATGACTAGAAGTCTTTGAGGGAGATTTATAGGCAGCGGGGCAGGATGTGCATAAACAAAGAACCTTAAAACAGCATGGCACATTTGGGGACTGCAAGTTCTCAGCCTGGACACCTCCCTTGAGCTTCTGGCCTGTATACCCACGTGCTTCCTAGATTATCTCTTCCTGGATAGGGCATTCACAGGTACCTCAAAATTAACATATCCAAAACTGTACATCCTCCTTCTAGTAATTCTCACCATCTGAGTAAACAGCAACTCCATTATTCTAGTTCCTCAAGCCAAAATCTTCGCAGCTTTTCCAGTAACTCCCTGAGGCTCTGGCCTCTAACAAGCCATTATCCAGGAACCTAGGTAGCAAATAAAGAATAAACCTCCTTAAGCCTAAAGGGAAGGGACAGCACTCTATGTGCCTTCTTCTCCCCTGGCTTACTTCAGGTGCTAATCCTAGCCATACCCTCTCTCCTTGGAAAGAGACTGGAGGCCTCTGCCAGCAAGAACAGGAGGAACAGCACTTTCTGTGCTTTCTTCCCTGGCTTGCTCCTGAGATAAGTTTCTGTAACCTCTCATTAGAAAAAGGCAAGGGGACCTCTCCATGACTAGAAAGAGAAGGGGACATTCCCTGTGTCTTCTTCCCTGATTTGCCTCAGGGAACTCCAGACCAAAAGGTCACCCCTGCAAGGTGCATGTGAGACTTCTTGCTTGAACAGGAGAGTGAGCACTCTCTGCACCTCCTTCCCTGGCTTGCTCCAGACATAATCCCAGCCCTGAAATCTCTGCCAGCACGAATGGAAGGGACAGCACTTCTCATGCTTTCTGCCTCCATGTGCTCTAGAGATAAATTCCTACAATCTCCCGGTGGAAGGAGGTGGGGGACCTCCCCATTCCTGAAAAGGAAAGTCAGCTCTCCCTGTGCCTTCCTCCTGGCTTGCTTCAGTAATAGCTTCAGATCAGAAGTCTCCCCCTGCTAGGGAGGCATGAGACCTGCTGGCCCAAAAAGTAGAGTGGGATTCCTGCACCTTTTTCCCTGCAGGCTCTAGCAATAATTTCAGGTCTTCAAACTCGCCACGAAAAGTTTTTGAACACATCGAGAACCCCAACTTCTATAGCTTTCATTGGAGGGACAGGCTGCTACATCACCTAGCTCTGGGAGTTGATGAAGCTCTACACTCCTGAGTCTCCTAGACCACTGAGAACAAACAGGTGACTTTTAAACTTGCAAATAAATATTTAGCAGCTATCTCCTCCAGGTTAAAAGTCAGCAGTTAGATCAAGAATATAGACATCTGCCTCAGACACTCTCCTTGGTGCAGAGCAGAATCAGTGGGAGATAAACTCTGGCTTTCAGCTTCTCTGCAAGGAAAGAAGAAACCAAAGCATACATCTAACATCCCAATACCTCTAGTCATATCCCAAGGGAATGGCTTCTATACCACCCCTCTCAAGGCAATAGTACAACTTGACTCTAATTTCTTGGAGGCCACTAAGAACAAAGACAGGCTGGACAAGCACAAAGTTCTGAGGAACCAGAATACTGCCCAGGCTGACTGGGAAGAAACACCTGCTACATAAGACCAGTCTAACAAGACTAGAGAAGGTGGTTCTTTTATATAATACATAGAAACCAATACAGAGTTAAGAAAAATGAAGAATTACTTCTAGTAATATTCACCATTTGAGTAAACAGTAACTCCATTATTCTAGTTCCTCAAGCCAAAATCTTGGCAGCCTTTCCAGCAACTCCCCACAGCTTTGGCTTCTAATAAGCCAGTATCTAGGAGCCTATGTAGCAAATAAGGAATAAACTTCCTTGAGCCTAAACAGAAGGGACAGCACTCTATGTGCCTTAAGAAAAATGAAGAAATAGGGAAATATTATGCTCAACAAAACAAAACAAAAAACAAGACAATCTCAATTAGAAGCCAACCCTACTGAAATGAAGATATGTGATTTACCTAACAGGACATTTAAAAGGAGTCATAAAGATGCTCACTGAGGTAAGGAGTGTGATGCATGAACAAACTAAGAATGTCAACAAAGAGGCAAAAATATTTTTAAAATACCAAACAGAAATCATTGAGCTGAAGAACACAATAGCCAAACTAAAAAAATTCAATAGAGGGGTCCAACAGCAGACTAGATCAAGCAGAAGAAAGGATTAGCAAACTTGAAGACAGTTCACTGGAAATCATCCAAGCTGAGGAACAAAAAGAAAAAAGAATGAAAAAGAGTGAAGACAGCCTAAGGGACTCATAGGATACCACCAAGCAGAATTACACACATTATCAGAGTACCAGAAGGAGAGGAAAGAAAAAAAGGGACAAAAAAAAATTCAAAGAAAAAGTGGCAGAACACTTCCCAAGTCTGGGGAAGGAAACAGAAAGTCAGATCCCCCTATGTTAGCTTGCTTATGATGAAAGAAAGAAAGAAGGACAGAGAAAGAAAGAAAAAAAAAAGAAACAAAATGAAGCAAAAAATAAAAAACAACAAAACCCAGCCAGATCCAGGAAGTTCAATGAAAACTTGATAGGAGGAATCTGAAGAGACTCACACACCAAGAGACATTATTATCAAATTGTCAAAAGTTAAAGACAGAGAAAATATTGAAAGCTACAAGGGAAAAGTGAGTTGTTACAAACAAGGGAACTTCCAATAAATTACAGGCAAAATTTTCAACAGAAACCTTGTAGGCCAGAAAGGAGTGGAATGTTAGATTCAAAAAGCTGATAGAAAAGGAAGAAAAAAAAAATTGTCAACCAAAAATACTATATTCAGTGATCCTGTTCTTCAAAAATGAAGGAGAAATAAAAATCTTCTCAGACAAAAGGCAAGGGAAT